CGGACAGACAGACAGACGAAGAGAAGTATGAATCAATAACCACACAGAAAGTACTCGCTGGACTGCAACAGGTCCAGGAAGCAAACACATCTGTAGGCACCAGGGGAATGACAGTGAGAAACAAGATCAGTGCCAAGGAAGGTCCTTCATCGCCATCACCTGCGGGGCAAGGTCTGAGTGCTGGGACACTTGGGGTGGGGGGCTCACCTACGGAGACAGACACATCTCATTCCTGTGTGGGGAGACTTGGAACACAGCACCGTAGCACACACAGGGGACTGAGAGGAAGCAGGACCGGGGAGGGGGTGGGGGCTACACAGGTCCCTGTGGAGCTGGAGGGAGCAGAGTGTGCAGACCAAGCAGGCGGGCTGGGTCGGAGACGGGCAGACGCTCATCTCATGAACATCTGGCCACAGCCAGGCGCCTGGTCGGTTTTAGAAATGGCAAGACACGCAGAGTTCTGACAAAGACAAGTAAGCTCTGGCCTTCATCTTCCAAAGCTAATGTGCAAAAGCAGACTGCAGGTTCCCGGTGACAGGCCCGCTCACCACCCGAGAGTGATGGGGTGCGGGCAGGTGACCGTGACAGGAGGCAAGGCCAACAGCACCGGAGTTTCCAAAATGAGAGGCAGACTCCCCTGGAGGGAAGTGAGATTGTGGATCCTGAAGGCAGGAACAGGGGAAACAAAGGGGGGGGGGGGCAGGTGTGGGGAGGAAGTGGGGTGTGTGTGTGGGGGGGGACACACACGCTGGGAGTGAAGTCTGCAGGGACTTTTCACCTTCATGAGAACTGAGTGGGGCAGCCAGGGCCTCAGACACGGACCATGTGACTTCCACAGATCACGGGGCCCTCCAGAGATGGGGAGAAAGAGCTGGCCAAGGTGACTGAGGGGCCATCTGAGCCATCCTGCTGGGCCAGAGTGCGTTAATAAGGAGGGAAGGGGGTGTCATTCGGCCTTGAGAGAAAGGCTATCCTACAACCTGCTGTAGCCTGGACAGAGCCTAAGAACGAAACCACACAGACACAGGGCAAGCTCTGGTTGGCCTGCTCCAGAGATCTGGGGGAGCTGGACTTGACCCCTGCCTGTGAGGTGGACAGATGAGAGAGCTGAGGGGATGGTGGTGAGGGCTGGCCAACACTACTGAACTTCCACACGCCTGCAGTGTTCAATGTCATGTCCTATGTGTTTCATCACAACTTTAAACACGAGTAGTAGCCAGGCATGGTGGCACACCTGTAATCCCAGCATGGCCCAGAGGCAGAGGCCAGTGTGGTCTACAAAGCAAGTTCTAGGCTCGCCAGAATAAGACCCTGTCTAAAACAAAAACGAACACTCAAACCTGATCACCCACAGAGCCACGTGAAGGTCACTCACTGGCAATCATGTGATTTCTAGAGGAGCGAGCGTGGGTACTGGTGCTCCACTGGAAGGGATGGGGTGGACCTGAAAAGGATGTGGTGTTGGGGAAGTCCCCATCTCCACCTGATAAAATGATCCCAAATGAGCAGAACCTGGAGCCTCTAAAGAGGGTGGCGGCCAGGAGGCAACTCACTCCTTCTGCAGGGGTAGCAGCTGAGGGGCGGGCAGCCATGGGGACAGCTGCAGGGCATTTGTCCTCAGATTTACAGCAAACAAGAAAAGGCGTTAAAGATCAGAAAGAACGTCCTTGGGGTTCTAACAGCAGAGACCACCACAGCGGCAGAGGCAGGGACAGCCATAGCTAGCACACCTGACCCATGGACACTCTAGACCACACTGGCTGGCTGGAGAAACATCTGGAATGGCAGCTCAGAGTGACCTTGTATGCTCCATACCCATCATATCCACAGTCACAGGCGACAACTCAAGATTTAAATCAACCATAGCCAAGCTCAGGTCCACAGCCTCACCAGCCAGGTTTAGAGCATTCACACAGGACTCAAAGCCACCATCTGAAGTGTGTGGGTTCCACATATTTCCATCCCCCTCCCCCCCAAAAAAAGCTCTACAGAAGAGTCCTACTCAAGGCAATGTGCGGCTATTTGAGTCTCTAAATTATAGGCAAGACGACACTGCCCAGAACCCACACTGCGTCTCTTTTGAGGACACCTTCCTGGGTATCCATCCCTTGGAAGGTCAGGCATGAATATGACCGAGGCGATGTGGTCAGTCAGATGGCATGCCTGGGAAGCTGGCCAGGCAGGTGGCCAGGCAGATGGCATGCCCGGGAAGCTGGCAAGGCAGATGGCCAGGCAGATGGCATGCCCGGGAAGCTGGCCAGGCAGGTGGCCAGGCAGATGGCATGCCCGGGAAGCTGGCAAACAGGAGCTCATGCACCTGCACCAGTGGCAGGTGACAGACCCTTGGTTGTCTCTAGCTGCCTCCTTTGAGGTGGCGCTCCTCTAGTGTCTCTGCAGTCATCTGCCTGAGCTGACAGGGCTGCAGCACCAGCCCTTTCGGGTTAGACCAGGACTAGCAGTGGCCAGTAGAAAACAGAGGTAAAGCAGGAGACAGGGAACTGGGGATGGACCCTTGGCCCGTGGAGATTCTCACTGTGGTGTGGGACTAAGGAGCTGGTGGGACAAGTCCCGAATATGCTGCAGGCCCCACTCTGGCTCATTCTTTCTGAGCACTCCAGTCCTTACACACTAGGCCATGTAGACGGACCCCCCACCCCTCCCCCCGCCCGGCCCTACCAACTCCCGTTCTCTCACGTGTCCTTGGCTTCGGGACCTATGTCCTGGTGTTTCCCCTTTACAAATGCTATGTCCCCACCAGCGGAGACTTTGTCTAGTTAACCACAATCCTTCAGTGCCCGCTGCAGTTCCCAACACATGGAAGGCACCACACTTGCTCAGAGAGATAACCACTGTAACCAGAGAAATTGCAGTTGCCGAAGAAGTTTCGACACAACCACAGTCAAAGCAGAGTCTATGAATCTAGAGGCAGAGCGAGGGTTCAAAGGGCTTGCTACAGTGTGGTCGTGGACCACTATGGTTTAAGGATCCGGTACAGCTGGTCATGGTGGCACACATCTGGAATGCATAACACTAGAAGGTGCCAGCAGGAGAATCAGCCAGCTTCAGCGACATGAAACGAGCCAGGCCAGCCTGGGCTAGCCTGGGCTACTGTCTCATAAACAGAAGAAAAGTCCGCTGCAAGGGAGGAGATGAAGCAAGGTTCATATAACGGGATAAAGACGGTGGGGAAACGAAGGAGTCAGGACCCAAGACAGAAGCATGCATGCTGGGGAAGGGGCCGTATCATCTTTGCAGGGGCAGACAAGGAAGAGAAATGAGCTTCCTCCCAGCCAAGCATGCACAGGAAAGCAGCCCTTAGCCAAGTACCACCCACGTGTGGAGCATCAATACGAACCTTCCGCTCCACAGATCACAATTCCGCCATCCTGCCTAGACCAGAACACGCACAAATCCCGCCGGATGAGCCGGCAACTGCACTCGAATTCAAAGACTTGATGTTTTCTAGGAAAAGAAAGAAAGAAAAAATCAGACCGAATTCTGAGAGCAAAAGTCTTCGTAGCTTCTCAGGTTGTTTTGTACGAGGCACCTGAATCCTCAGGAAGGAAGAGGCCAGTTCTTCAGTACCTCTCCAATTCCAACGTCTACCACATTTTTCCTGAGCAAGCTTCTGGGAGTGTGCCTAACCACCCTGCTTCCCAGCTACTACTCACAGCTGAAGACCGTCTCTTCGCCACCACACTGACGTTCTTTGAGGCAGGCTGTGCATGTATGCTGCTTGCCCACACCGTCTTAGCCTGGCAAAAAATACCCACACCATTCTTCCCTGGTGTGCCCTGGTTTTACCTCAGCTCTATTTCTTGTCTTCTCACAGCACCAGGCCACTAAGAGTGCCTCGTAGGCAAACGGGGGGGGGGGGTGTTCAAGGACCCCCAGTGAAGTCAGCAGCAGCTGTGACTGTCTCCCACGGGAAACTCATTTCTCCCAGCTGCCACCCTAGCTAGAACAGGATGGGGAAGAAATTCAGCCAGAGGGCTGTATGTATCTACAGCTCAGAACCACTCCCCACTCTATGACAACTGCCAACTTCAGCAGGACTTCCTTCACGGAGCGCCCAGTCACTTGACACTAGCAAACAGTGTCACGTGCCATGACCTCGCCACTGTTCAACGACAATTGTAATAACCCTGCACCTCCAGCACTAACTACGCTGGCTGTTGGCCTTTAGGTGCTGGTGCTGCGACTTCTCTCTGCTGGGCACCATGGGTGGGGCCAGGCCCCCAAGAGGTGCAAAGCCAGCCCGCCCTCTCAGCAGGTCCTCCTCCTGGCTCCCTAAAGCCTAGGGCAGCTTCTCCTCGACTGCGATCCATTGGCTAATCCCAGAGCTAAACGTTCTTTCCAGCACACGAGGGAGAATTATCCAGCCAGAGTGGAGAGAAGTGAGGTGTCCTCCCTGCCCTGCCCTGGGGTGGCTGAGCGAGACAGGCAGAACCGCCCGAGGGGCGTCCTAGGACGGCCGTCCTGCTAGAAAACGGACAGCAGCGGTGCTCAGAAGTAAAGCAATGATCCAGCTCGGGGGTGGAACCCGTCACCTCCCTCTCCCCGGTGTTTACCATCCCCGCCTTCCATTCAGCCCTATAGCCCAACACCAACCCAACACGGGCGCTCGCCGTCTCCTGGATGCCGGGCCGGAACCCACTCGTGACTGTCGGGTCCCAGGAGGCCGTCCCTAGCGAGCTGCCCCTCGCCCAGTGCTCGCCGGGTCTGCAGGCCCTGCACCGAGCCCAGCGCGTGACCCAGCCGGACCGAACCATCCGCAGGCTGGCGGAGGGAAGGGAACTCCAGCTCCCGACCCAAGCGAGCGGCGCCACGTCCCCGGGCAGATGGCCAGGGTGTGCGGAGCCACGCTGTGCAGCGTTGCGCTCCGCCGAGCCAAGGACATAAGCCCCACGGCCACGCGTGCCCCTGGGCGCCGCTTGTCGCCCCGCGGAGAAGCGCAGATGGTTCCGGCCGCCGAGAGAAGCCATTCTGCAGGGGTGAGGTCAAAACTAACATTTCAAAAGAGTCGGAAAGAATTAGCCAGCGGTTACCCCGGTGTCTACAGAAGAGGAAAGGGAAGTGGAGGAATTTCTCTAGGGCGCTGTGAGTTTTCCTGGCTCCACTCCTCGCCGGTTAGGCTGCCGATCGGAGTCAGCTTCTCCCCTTCGTGAGAAGTGGAAGGTGCGGACAGGTCCTTGGAGGGAGGTTGGTGACAGAGGGAACTGCGGCTTAGCAGGGGTCCGAGCCCGACCGACCTTTGCAAACTAGCTTTCAAAACAGTTCGGGGGACCTTGCCTTGGTGGAGGTGGGGTTGGGTTGTGGGGGAAGGCTGGGGGGCGGGAGGAGGGAGGACAGAGGAATCTGTGGTTGGTATGTAAAATGAATAGAAAATCTCTTAATAAAAAAGAAAGAAAAAAGAAACAACAGCAGCAACAACAACAAAAACAGTTCGGGGTTGTGGTTTTGCTCAATGGTAAGCGCAAGACCCTGGGGTTGGTTCGTAGCGCGCGCGTGCGCGCGAACACACACACACACACACACACACACACACACACACACACACACACACACACACACACACTAAGGAGTATTGGTTTGGCTGTGTAAAACTGAATTTTAAAGCCATTAGTGCATAGCGTGGGCCCTTCCTATGAAGACAGATGAGAATTCAGCTCTTGGCCTGCCTGCGGCTTGACGCTGGGACTCAGGCTGCCAGCTGTGTGCAGTGGGGCTGTGCACCCCAGGAAGGTGCTCAGAATGTGGTTCTCAGGAAGTGGGGGCGTTTCAGATGGTCTAAGTAGAAGTAATTGGTAGGTTCATTTGTTTTTCAAATCACAGGGGTCTGATTTCTTTTTCTACAACTTCGTTTTGTTGGAGAGGGAACAGGAGGGAAGAAAATGAAATTGCAAACTTGTGTTTTGTACCTTTGTTTGCAGCCTGGTAAAGATCAAGGAGTGCAGGGTAGAGTTACAATGTTAGGTATTGCCTGAGTTTTTATTCTTACCAATCTAATTACCTCTGATATTGTGAGTCAGTGGTGAAGACCACCTCCTGTCTCCGAAGAGGTTCTTGTGCCCCCCCCCCCCCAACAATGGGGTAAGCAGACAGCCGAATAAGAACAGAGATACTTGTCAACTTGGGGTTAACACCCTTAAACCGGACAAAACAACTTTAAACGGACTGCCACTCAGGATGTAAATGAAACAGGGTTGAACTCTCCAAAGCAGTGGGATGTTAGGAAGAGCCGGGAGAGCTCTGCAAACAGCTCTGAGAACCGTCTGCTGGAAAGAAATCAGAGGACCGGGACGGCTAACCAAAAGCAGTCATTTCGGAGCAGGTCTGGAGGTCACTGAGGGGCAGCAGGAGCTGTCTCAGGCTCCAGTAGGTCCCCAAGGCAGAAGCAGCTAACAGATTCCTTTCTGCAGCCATTGAGACGCCTTGGAGGCTGAGGTGGGAATGAGCAGTCCCTTTGCCTGCACCCACTGATCCAGTCCCAGAAGTCTCAGCCACAGGAAACCTCCTAACTGAAAAGAAGTTTGTCTATGGAAACTGGCTGATGAGAATTTCAGTACTGTGGAGGGATTGGAATATTGCAGGTCCAAAAGCTAGTTACCTTATTTCAGGCTGGTTCTAGCCCTCCAGAACAGCCATTCATTGCCCTCCTCTGTGTCTGAACAAGTAGATAAAAACTTTTTGGAGGGCTGGAGAGATGGCTCAGAGGTTAAGAACAGTGGCTGTTCTTCCAGAGGTCCTGAGTTCAATTCCCAGCACCCACATGGTGGCTCATAACCATCTGTAATGAGATCTGGCTCCCTCTTCTGGTGTGCAGGGACATATGCAAACAGAACACTGTGTACATAATAAGTAAATAAATGAATCTTTAAAAAAAAAAAAAAAGATGAAACTTCAAAAAAAAAAAAAAAACTTTTTGGAGTCTATTAACCAGCCCAACCCAAAAGTTCAGGTAATAAGTATCTTGGCCCTATAGAAAAGCCCCCATCTGGTTGCACCTGCCTCTCTGAGGTACCCAGCAATGTATTTTAAACTTGACTTATGACTTTATTCTGTAAAACTATAAACCCTCATGAAACTGCTTCCACCTTGGAACATTTAATTTGGGGTAACCTAACTCTTGTGTTCCCAGGCCATGGTTACTCAAAATGGCTCCAGAAGACTCCTAGAACCAGGCACTTAAGCCTTCCAGCTCTTCCTTCTCTGTGGAATTCTGTAGCAACTCTGGCTCTTCAGATCCAGAATATCTTAATTTAGAGAGGTTCCAGGGTGCCTAATGACGGTAGGCCTAATTATCTAAATGTGAATATGCAAATAAGGCGGAAAGAGGGCCAATCAGGGAAGAGCTAACAAGCCCAGTGGGACGGGGAAGCCCAGTCCTCCAAAGGTTGCCTGAAGTTCACCGTCATGTCTGCAGGTCACTGTACCTACAGAGGTGGGAAACTCTTGAGGTTGTCTGTTCCTGGTTGCTAAGGTACTTGTCTTGGGCAGTTGTTTTACTGAGCTAACCGAGTTGTCCAGAGGCCTACTTTCTTCTGCTCCTATGACAGCTATCATCACAAACTGTTGAAAAGCTCCCATCATCACACTCGGCCCTAACTTTATTTACTTCTGTCATCAATATAGCTGGGCATGTGGCGACAGGAGCCGGGGTTGAAGTCTGAGGCTAGGCTGGGTGACATGAGACACTGTGGCCATACCACCCTGAACACGCCCCATCTCATCTGATCTTGGAAGCTAAGCAGTCAGGCCTGATTAGTACTTGGATGGGAGACATTGTCTCACAAAGAAAACAAAAACCAAAAATAACCAGGGGCGAGGCATGCCCTGTAGCTTGGTAGTGTTTGCTTAGCATTCAGGAAGCCTTAGGTTCGATCCCCTGCACCACATAAATGCTGGGGTAGTGAAACACGCTGCAATCCCACACGGGGAAGCTGAGGAAGACTGGAGGATCAGGAGTTCGGGTGGGTTTGCAATAACACAAGAAACCTGACCAAACGGCAGATAACTGGAATAACCCTGATGAAAGGCTGTCTGCAGCCTCCTTGTTGCTAATGTTTCCGAAAGTCTAAAAGAAAACATCTTTCCAGGCAGACAGTGGTGGTGCACACCTTTAATCCCGGCACTCGGGAGGCAGAGGCAGGCGGATCTGTTTGTGGCCAGCCTGGTCTACAAAGTGAGTTCCAGGAAAGAAATCTTCCCAACTTTTGTTGAAGAGAATTCATGAAGGAGCCAGCTGCCTCTGTGCTAATGAGTGGAGGACTTATAAAACTTTCTACAAACTAAAATTAGTGACAATGGCCGGTTTTATTTTAAAATACTTACTTTGGTGATTTTGTTTTTCCCATTTTCCTCTTAGTAGCAGGTGTTCTTTGTGCTCTAGGAATAAATCTGCAGGAGCAGGGCAAGATTTCTGTACAGCTCCATTCTTCAGCCCCAGGGTTGTTGGGACTAATTCTTGCTTCTGGGGGTTTAAGACCAATTTTTTGCTGTCTTTTTTGTTTGTTTATCTTTTAACTTGAACGCTTTTCTGGATTTGTTTCTGAAGCTACTGCCTCATTCACACTGTCCTTATCTTCATGATGATAAGGAGGGCTACTAGGCCACTGGCCAGTTCAGTCAAGTCCACTGAGCACTCATTCCTGCTGGCCCTGACCTGTGTGTCACTGCTGTTTTTCTCTGTCACCCATTCTTTGGAAGTGATTAAAGAAAAATTATTTTTGTGTATAAGCGTATGCTTGCATATATGTATGCGTATGTATTATGTGCATGCCTGGAGTCCACAGAGGCCAGAAGAGAGTCTTGGATCCTTTGGAGTTTCGATGATGGTGAGCTATCACATCAGTACTGGGATTCAAACCCAGGTCTCCTGTAAGAGCAACCAGTGCTTCTGCCCACTGAGCCACTGTTCCAGCTCCCCTACTCCAAACAATTGTGTGTGTGTGTGTGCGCGTGCGTGCGTGCGTGCGTGCGTGTGTGTGTGTGTGTGTGTGTGTGTGTGTGTGTAGCCATGGCTGTCCTGAAACTCACTCTGCAGACCAGGTTGGCCTCAAACTCACAGAGATCCACCTGCCTCTGCCTCCTGAGTGCTGGGATTAAAGGTGTGTGCTACCACTGTCCAGCTCCAACCGTTTTTTTTAATACTTTATGCCCATATTTTCAAACTGAACGACGCATATTCACTTAAAGGTCTTTAACCCCCCACCCCACCTTTTTTTGGGCAGTGCTGATGGAACTCAGGGTGGAATATGTGCTAGGGAAGTACTCGACCAATGAATTAAACTCCAACCCTCTTTTTTTTTTTATGATTTATTTAACTTTATTTTATGTGTGTTGGTATGAAGGTGTCAGATCCCCTAAAACTGGAGTTAGAGACAGTTGTGAGCTGCCATGTGGGTGCTGGGAATTGAACCTGGGTCCTCTGGGAGAGCAGCCAGTGCTCTTAACCCCTGAGCCATCTCTCCAGCCCCCAACCCTCTTTTTACTTTTCGAGACAGGGTCACATTAAATTGCCCAGCTGTCCTTGTACTTGTGACCCTTCTGCCTTACTCTGCTCAGCAGAGGTTACAGCCTGTATACCAAGTTCTGTAGTTCCTGTAACTTTTTTTCCCCCAAGACAGGGTTTCTCTGTGTAGCCCGGGAACTCGTTCTGTAGAGCAGGCTGGCCTCAAACTCACAGAGATCCACCTGCCTCTGCCTCTCAGGTGCTGGGATTAAAAGAGTGCGCCACCACACTCAGCGTGACCCTATAACTTTTAATCAAAGACTGGCTCTTTTATTGCTTCATTTGGCACAAATCCAAATAGAAAACACAAATGTAATGCAGATACTGGATTCTGGGGGCAATTAATGAGTGGTACTAATCTAGGCTATTATCATTTGAGATTACCATGGAAAAACAAACTTGAAGCTTCTTAGAGAACTGGTAGTTCCACCAATGAACACCTACCCATCTTGGATATCAGCAACATATCTAATTCCCTAAGTACAAAGTTGCCAACCTCTGGTATCATACGGATGCTACAGGCATTCGTGTGTCAGCATGTTCACAAAGGAATCTGCTGCGAGAACTGCCTTGAAGGACAGACAGCTAAGGCCATCTTAACTATGCATGCATTTAAATGGGCCCGATAGTGCTCCAAAGCCGAGACAGGCAGCCTCAAAAACAACATGCTAAGCAACAGGTGTGAAGTCCTAAATGCTCTCAGAAGTGAGCAAGGCATGAAACTTGTGGACCTAATGACTTGGCAAAGGAGCCCGAGTCAGGAGAGAAACAAAGATTCTTCAACCCACAACCAGGTCCTGGTAAAGAAAGTGGCACCCAGGGAAAGAGGAGCTGCTCCTTGAGTCCCGGGAAGCCCCAAGAACCGCACGACTGAGGGAGGGCCCTAGTGGGACAGGCTTCCTGCCTTCTGAGTGGGGGTGGGGAGCTCGCCTCCTGACTTGAGTCCACTAGGGCATTTTGAGGCTACTTTTAGGAGCATGGCAGAATGTGACTTGAACCTGGGACCATCCAAACAACTAGTGGCTCTTCTCTCCTGCCTGGCTTACAGCCCTAGTTCCTGCTGCTTCGATGGTCTGGCCTCAGAGAAGTTATAAAACTACCCGAAAGTCACCTGCACTTCCCCCCAACACTGGTTCAGGGATGACAAGGGTCAGTCGGCTAGCAGGTAAGAGATTCTTAAAAAGAGAATGTCACAACCCTTTGAACTCAAAAACTTTCAAGCAATGTGGAATTTTAATGAACCAATCTTGGGAAACAAATATAATAGTATTTATATCACTAGAAGTCCTTACCAGGCATCTTTATTTAGTCACCACTTGAAGCTATTGTAGGTGATTTTAATTTCAGATTCTGATAAATACTGCTCAAATTCAGCTTTTTTTTTTTAAAAAAAAAAAAAAGAGTCCACAGTTCACTACACAAACAGAAGATAAATTCCCTTTAAATATGTCCTCTTTCCAAAACACAGGTATACACAAACCTAAAAGATGCCAGCTACAAGCAATATTAATAATGGAAGAGAATCTGAGTCTAAAGTTGTCACTACTGGCTTATCAATTCCAGAGGACCTACAAGGACAGGTCAACTACCAGTGTGGGTCTACTTTACAGGCCTTGGAAGATTCAAGAGTTTCATTAAATTTTTCTTTTTACATTTATGTGTGCGCATGTGCAAGAATGCCACTGTGCGAGTGTGGCAGTCAGTGAACACGTCCTCTCCTTCCACCATGTGGGTTCTGAGACTGAACTCGGGTTCTCAGGCTTGGTACCTTTACACACTGAGGCATCCCGCCAGTTCAAGGGTTTCCTTAAAAACAAAACAAAAAAAACAAACCCACATTGTATGTACTTGTGTGCCACAGCATCACAGCATGCATGCTCAGGTCATGACAACTTATGGGCATCAGTCCTCTCCTCTTTCCATGTGGGGTGGAGGAACTGAACTCAGGTAATGAGGTTTGGTGGCAAATGCCTTTACCTGCTGAGCCTTTTCACTGGCCCTGAGTTTTGTAAATAGTGAAAATGTAGACTGAGGTATAGCCCAGGGCTAGGGTGCCTGCCTAGTTTTCAGGAGACCCTGGGTTCCATCCCCAAGACTATAAGTAAATGAATGAGTAAATAACACAGATGCCATTTGCCACTTAAAACATTTGGAAAAAAATGCCTATGAGCCAGGCATGGTGGTGTACGCCTTTAATCCTTGAACATAGGAGGCAGAGGCAAGCAGATGTCTATGTTCATGGCCGGCATGGTATTTCCTGGCCATCCAAGGTGCATGAGTCTCAAAAAACATGCTAGTGATAAAAATGATGACATTGATGGTGGTGGTGGTGAACTGGCACGTGTGCATGGGGACAACAGAGGACAAGCTACAGAAGTCTGTTCTCTCCTTCCACATTGTGGATCCTGTCATTTGAACTCAATTCACTGGGCTTGTCCAGAAGTACCTTGTGACCTACTGAGCCAGCTCACTGGCCTAAATGGTATTTTTAAAGAAAAAAAAAAAAAATGAGTTTATTTAGTGCTAGGGATGGAGCCCAGGACTTGATGCATGCTAGGTGGATGTTCTATCATTTAGCCTCACCATAGAGCTCATAGAGAAATTACGGTACGTTTTCACTATTTAAAATATGCTTCTATAATGATATTTAATAGTATTACCCCTGTACAAATCCAAAGAACTAACATTTATAGACCAATATGGTATATATTTTAAAGAATGTATTATTGTATGGCATTGTAGGCATGTACCTACCACAGCACTCATGTGGAGGCCGACAACTCTAATCAGTTCTTCCCACTGTTATGTGATTTTATTAAAATCAAGGAACTAAACTCAAGGTGTCAGGCTACAGAGCAAGTGCCGAGCCATCTCACCACTCTTTCTAAAATTGGTGTGTTGCACGTGTGTGCCCACGTGCATGCACGTGGAGGCCAAAGGAAGACCTCAAATATCTTCTCCACAGCTCTCTACCTCACTTTCTTGAGGCCTTTCGCCGAACCACATTCACCACTCTGGCCAGGCTGGTTGGCCGGTGAGCTCCTGGGACCCAGCTGTCTTTGCTGCAGTTGAACGGTCCTGTCCAGCTTTTCACACGGATGCTCAGGGATGGCTGAGGCCCTTGTGCTTCTTCTTACCACTACGCTACCCCCTTGAAGACCAAATTTACTGCGCTTTAACAGGGCCACACTTCACCAGCACTCTCTACCACTACAGAGGGCTAGCTCAAGGACTTCTGGCCAAGGTGTAATGAGGCTAGAACAAAATCCAAACATCTCGGCAGAGTATCCGAAGATGTTTCAAGAAGAAAAGGGGCTGTTTAAATGGCTCCGTGGGTAAAGGCACACTGAATGCCAAGCCTGGCAATCTGAGTTCATTCTCCAGGACCCACAAGGTAGGAGAATAAATCCCCCTATACATACACACAAAATAAAATACAATCAAAAAGAAAATTAGAGCCGGGAGAAGGCCCAGGACGGCAGAACTCTGCACACATGGTAGGGAGTGCTGAGAGCCAACAGCACCTCAGTCCCACCCACTGCCACCAACTCAGGAATTCTGATGCTGCAGTGTAGATCCCACTCACTCTCCCAACCAACCATCTCCACTCACAATGGAGGTATCATTAAAACCTTTGCAGGAGCTGGGCGGTGGTGGCACATCCTTTAATACTTAGGAGGCAGAGGCAGGCAGATCTCTGAGTTTGAAGCCAGCCTGGTCTACAGAGTGAGTTCTAGGACAGCCAGACTATAGAGAAACCCTACCTCGAAAAAACCAAACCAAACCAAAATGAAACCCTTTGCAGAAGGGGAAATTGGTAGAGAGCACACATTAACATTCAAGGGATTAAAACAAAAAAGGTAACTTTAATGCAATAATAACAATAATCTGAGGATAAATAAATCCACAACAGACTCTAAAGTTTGATTTTTGTTTTCTTTCTTTTGCAGAGACTGGTTTTCTGAAAGCAATAGGACTGAAGATGTTAACACTGAATTTCTCAATGTCCAGGTGGAACCGGCGTGGGACTGGCATGGTACTTCCTGCTGCCCTCTTCATAGGCCAAGGTGACAATTCTGTTAGCTCAGGATGGCGTTAGTTTCAAGAGAAACTGGAGGGCTTGTTTCCTGAATCATCTTCTTGTGAGCCCATACTCTGCGAAGGGGAAGGCAAGTGGTGTGCTGTGACTGACCCTACCAGGACTTGGGAAAGCAGGCATGCCAGCTACTCGGCCTGTCTCCCCTGCAGAAAGCCACCTGGGCCTTCCCTCGCCACACTCACAGGCAGTGCCTGACAAGCACCTCTGTGAACTTATGGGTACTGGTTTTTAACAACAGTGAACTTCTGTTTAATAAATGAAATCATGTTTTTGTGCTTAATGGTAGTAGCCCTCTGTGTCCACCCGTTTCAAATGAGAAGAGCCCTGTTTACCTTTTGAACAAACTGGGGATTCACCGTGATCTCCTGGTCCATGGCCTTCAGCCGTTCATCCAACTCTATACACTTTAGCATCTGTGCAAGAGCCAGAGAATCATGGTCAGCAAGGGGCTTTGGTGAGTCACAGCCTCTGTAACCGACTGTAGTGGGGGGCCAGAGACTCACAGTCACTGATCTGAAAGCCTCAGCTAAGGGCTTCTGAAGTCCAAACATGAGGATTCAAACAGTAAATACATGTACTATATACTACCCAATATCCCAGAGCTGAAAAAAACTACCTTCAGTAAAACCCATCAGCATCTGCCTCACTGAAACCGATTTCACACATATACATACACATACACACACACACACACACACACACATTTATTGTGTATATGTGCACACATGTAAGCACAAACACATGTGCCATGGTGCATCTGTGGAGTCAGAGGAAAACCTGAAGATGTCAGGTTCTTTCTTTTTTTTTTTTGGTTTTTTGAGACAGGGTTTCTCTGTGTAGCTTTGCACCTTTCCTGGAACTCGCTTGGTAGTCCAGGCTGGCCTCGAACTCACAGAGATCCACCTGCCTCTGCCTCCCGAGTGCTGGGATTAAAGGCGTGCGCCACCACCGCCCAGCTGTCAGGTTCTTTCCTTCTACCATGTAGGTCCCAGGAACTGAACTCAGGTGGTCAGGCTTGATGGCACATGCCTTTAACCATTGCTGAGCAATCTTGCCAGTTCTAAATGAAGGTAACATTTTAGGTGACATTTTGATATCCAGGAATTATTTAAAAAAAAAAAAAAGAGTAATAAAGTTCTACTTTTTACTATGTGTTATTTTTTAGGATTCCTGGGATTTTTCTTTAAAAAAAAAAAAAAGTATGAGTACTTAAGTGCACTAAAGTGAACCATGTGTGTGCAGTTCTTGCAGAGGTAAAAAGAGCATGAGATCCCCTAGAACTGGGGTTACAGATGGTTGCTGCTTATGGGTGTTAGGAACCAAACTCATGTCCTTCCTCTGGAAGATCAGCCAGTGCTCTTAACCTCTGAGCCATCTCTCCAGCCCTATCCTGGGAATTTTGTTGTTGGCTCTAGTGTTCAGTCTTGCTATATAGTCCAGGTTGGCCTCAGACTCACAGTCATCTGCCTCCCAAACATCAGGATTAAAGGCACAGGCAGCCACGCAGAGCCAGCTTTTAATTTATGTAACATGACCTCACTCATTTCCTTCCTCCAAGGTCCAGATGATCCAACTTACTCCCAGACCCCAAAGCAGCCCTTAAGAGCAGCAGGCCCTCACACAAAAGGCAGGCTATGGCTGTGGACCATGTTGCTGACACGGCACCCCTGCTCTAGATGCCCAGGGTATTGCTGCTGCTGACCTGGGAGATGCCTTCTGATCTCCCACCTCAATGTCCACAGAGACAAGTCCACACACTGGCAGTCAGGCACAAGTGAGACACTAGATCCCTTGAGTGTTTTTGGAATTCAATTAGGTTTTGGTAATCTATTTGGAAAAATCTATCCTACCATTTAGTATACGGATCCAATCAATCGAGAAGAGTTTCCAGCAGTCACTTTGAAATTAACATTGCAGGAACTGTGTCCACTCGCTGGGAACTGCCTATAAAACACTACTCTGGAGCACAGGAGGCCAATACAGCAGCTCAATCACCCATCAAAAATGTCCAAACACAGGGCGGTGGTCGTGCACGCCTTTAATCCCAGCACTTGGGAGGCAGAGGCAGGCAGATCTCTGTGAGTTCGAGGCCAGCCTGGTCTATAGAAAAAGTTCCAGGACAGGCTCCAAAACTACACAGAGAAATTTAGTCTCAGGGGAAGAAAAAAAACAAAAAGCCCAGGCAAATCGCTTACCTCTTGATCAATGTTATGAAGCATGGCTGGGTTATTATATTTTTCAGGATTATCATGGAAACTGACCATACCGTCCTTCTGATTAATACTTGCAAAAATTTCCCCATCTTCTATCTAAAAAAAGAAAGAAAAAGAAGGAAACCATCAAAGTTTAGACCTGACTCAGAATATATTGTCAGTGATAACCAAAGGTGGAAAAGCAAAGCATAAGTCTTGCCGTGTCACCCAGACTCACCTCAAACTCACGACCCTTCTGTCTCAGACATGGATCTAGGTCACAGGCTGGCTACTTAAAAAAAAATATGTATCGATGTTTTGCCTGTAGAGTAACCCTTGCAACTAGTTACAGATGGCTGTGAGCCACTCTGTGGGTGGTAGGACTCAAACCCACATCCTTTTGAAGAGCAAGTTCTCTTCTTAAGCCCTGAGCTCAATTACACACGCATTTGAAGTACTATCTATTTATTCAGTGTTTATTAAATGCTATATGCTAGGCATCATTACAGAGAGATGCCCAGTAGACGAAAGCTGACACTCGCATACACAACCTCTCCATGGCTGTTTTACCTACCTCCACACCTCTGTCTCTCCCTTCTCCTCTCACTCTCTCCCTTATTTATTGACATAGGGTCTCACTATGTAGCTCTGGCTGGCTTGGACTTCATTATGTAGACCTGGACAACCTCAAACACAGTGATCTGCCTATATCTGGGATTAAAGGCAGGCCTAACACTCTCATGTTTTTTATTTATTTGGTTTTCTTTGAGACAAGAGTTTTACTTTATAGTCCAGGCTGGCTTTAGCTTGAGATCTTTCTGCCTCCACCTCTCAAGTGCTGGAATTATAGGCACATGCCACCACCATGCTGGCTTAACAAACTATTATATCACTGTGTTCTAAAAACATTTTTATTACTTATGTGTAGTGAATATTTTATTATTTATGGCACTGCAGGAGTGCAAGTGCCAGCAGAGCCAGGAGAGTACCTCTAATTCCTGAGAACTGGGGTTACAGACAGCTGTGAGCCACCACTGAGGGTCCTCTGGAACAGCAGCCAGCATGCTCTTACCCACTGAGCCATCTCGCCAGCCCCTTTGTTAATCATGTTCAAGTCAACAATTCAGTGGGATTTAACTGTTTTCAGTCACCACCTCTACTTAGTTCCTAAACATCTGCAACTGTCTCAAGACATTCACCCACCTGAAGCCATTCCCTAGCCTTCATCTTCCCAGCCTGGCAATCACTAACCTGCTTTTTCTCTATGAATGTGCCTGTACCAGACTTTTTTCTTTTGAGACAGGATCTCATGTAGCCACACATGGATCTCATGTGGCCACACACTCTATGTAGCCAAAGGATGAGTTTGAACTCCTGATTCTCCTATCTTTACCTTCCATGTACTGGGGATTACACATGTGCAATCCTATATACAGCTTGAATTAGATATTTTCTATAATGGCAATGTATCTTTTTTTTGTTTTGTTTTGTTTTAAGACAAGGCTTCTACATGTAGCTTTGGAGCCTGTCCTGGAACTCACTCTGTAGTCCAGGCTAGCCTTGAACTCACAGAGATCTGCCTGGCTCTGCCTCCCGAGTACTAGGATTAAAGGTGTGTGCCAACACTACCCAGCACAGCAATGTATCTTAGAGGTTCTTTTTTTTTTTTTTTTTTTTGTCTCAGTTTATTTAATGTTAAGGCTCCATCTTTCTTTTTCCATCTGCAGAGCTAAAGATTAAAGCCCAGGCTTCACACATGGCAGGTGGGTACTACAGCACTGAGCTACAGTCTCAGCTTGCTTTGTTTTTCTTTTTCGTGGTGGATTTGTGTTTTTGAGACTGAATCTTATATATATATCAGCCCAGGCTGGCTTAGAACTAGAGATCCTCCTGCTAGTGCTGAGATGACAAGTGTGTAGCACTGTGCCCAGCTCTGCCCTTGCATTTTTAAACAGTGTGTCATAGTCACATAATTTATTTTTCTTATTTTTACTGTTGCTACTGTCTGAGACAGGGTCTTACTCTACAGCCTTGGCTGGCCTGAACTCACTATGTAGATGAGGTTGGTCTTGGACTCACAGGACTGACCTGACCCTGCCTCAAGTGCTGAGTGATGATTTCTATTACTTCTGCATTTTAAAACATGAGGCTACAACATGCTTTTGTTTCATCAGTGGAAATTACGCTCTGCTTTTTCTGCAATCTTTTCTACTACTGCTGATTTCAAAGTAATTTCAAGGTCTGTCACTGTTTTAGTTACATCAGTGACTGGGGACTTATCTCACTGACACAAAGTTACAAAAGCAGTAGCAAACAGAAGTCCTGATAGCTATTTTGATCCCTAAAAATACTCCATGGTCTTTGTTCTGTTTTGAAACAAGGTATCACTCCATAGGCAGGGCTGACCTATACCCCACTCACCACCCATTAGGAAACCCAACATAGCCGGATGCCATAACAATCCTCCTACTTTAAGCTCCTGACTGCTATAATTACAGAATGAGCCACTGTGCCCAGCTTTCCAGTGTGACTACTGTTTGGCTCACTTGTGAGCAATGGAACAAGCTGTCTAAAATGGTCATTCTTTGCTTTGGAAGAGACAGTAGATGAGTTTAACGAGATAGCAGTTCCAGCCCAAAGAGTATTAATAGAATTCAGAGTTCTCTAACAATAGATGTAAGTTACTGCAGACTTAAATTCCATCCGGACTATGGTTCACCACAACAGCACTTTTTGTAACCCAGAATAGAAAATGAACTCGATGGCCACATAGTTAGAATGGAAGGACAGCGTGACACTACATCCTGAAAAGAGAAGAACTATAAATACATCTACATGCATGGCTCTTACAAAGCATGCATCATCCACCTTTCAGATAAAGCTTGAAACAAACAACCAAACAAACTGTTAGAAGTCAGAACATCACCGAACTTTTTAACTAGGGCTAGGGCTGGAAGCTGGTTATATTTTGTACCTTCACGGATATCTTCGTCTTTTGAAAATGTTTTAGTGGGGGATGGAGCAATGGATCAGTGGTTAAGAGCACCGGCTGTTCTTCCAGAAAACCCAAGTTCTATACCCAGCACCCACATGATGGCTCACAACAGTCTAGAACTCCAGTCTGAGGGGATCCAAAGTCCTCTTCTGGGGGTACTACATGCATGTGGTGCAGACAAAACACCCACACACAAAATAATAAATTTTAAGAGAGAAAATGTGTGCAGTGGAATACCCATTTAAGTGTACCTTTATGCACATTACCTAGTAAAATGGTAGCTTAAGAACCCTGCCTCACCAGCCTGTCGTCCAGGGCCGCAAAGTCTTTTAAAGGTTTGTTTTATGTGTATATGTCTGTGTAAGTGTGTGCCACATGTCAGGTGCCCTCAGAGGCCAGCCAGAATTACAGGCAGTTTATGAGGTGCTAGACATGGATGCTGAGAACTGAACTCAAGTCTTCTAGAAGAGCAACAAGCCCTCTAAATCATTAGCCTTAAACGTTTATGATGTAAGCTGGTTGCCGTGTGTGTGTGTGTGTGTGTGTGTGTGTGTGTGTGTGTGTGTGTATGTGTGTGTGTCTGTCCTAGCAGTCTGTCAGTTCTACTGCCACGTGCAGCCAGACTGATACTGCCCACAAGGAGAGATGGGACTTGACTGAGAATGGAAATCAATACGGCAAAGCACACTGCTTCAGCTACTATTTATTTATTTATTTATTTATTTATTTATTTATTTATTTATTTATTGGCAAGACTTTCTTGATGTTGAGGGTGCTTCAGCATACATACTTGTAATCAAATGATCCTATCACAGATCAGCATAATAGCACTACTTTATGTTTTTTGTATCTGAAATATTTCAGGGAAATTTCAATTGACTTAAATATAATAAATAAGGAACTTAAACTGGATACAACCATGGTGTATATTGTACAAGTACATTTAACTGTCTGAGTGTCCTCAAGGATTCACTGTGACTGAAACTTTGTCTACAGGGTGGTAGGTACTATTTGGAGAGCAGAAACTTTAGGAGAAAAGGCCTAGTGGGAGGGCTCTAGGGGTGTATCTTTGCAAGGAACTATGAAACCCCCGTCCTTCTCTTCTGGTTTGCTCCTTACATATGCTCCTATCATCATGTGCCACCTTCACCAAAGGCCCGACCAATGAGACCATCTCATATTGGACCCAAAATGTGAGCTACATTAATCTTTTCTCTTCATAAAGTTACTTGTCTCATTCACTTCTCTGCAGTAATGCAGCCATGACTAGGAAATCTGACTTAAGGAAATAGACCAAAATGTCAACAGTGGTTGATTTTGAACATTCACTTTTTAAAAACTTCTTATTTTTTTCATAATGAACACCCACTGCTTTTTCTAAGAACAAAAATCCACTAGTTAAAACTTTTAAAACATACTTACCATGTGTAGGACGTATTTCTCTGCCTCCTGAGGTCCAGATAACTGCACACGACTTGCCATATCTTGTAACGATAGTGTTAAAAAGGTCTGCAAATCAGAAGTCAATTAATCACACATAGAAATGGAAAAAAAACTATGTACTGAATGTGTTCTGCATTATTTCCATTGCTATATAAGATAAATCTTTCTTTGTGAAAATGACTTGTGGGCTGACGAGATGGCTCACTGAGTAACGGTGCCCATTGCCAGGTCTGACAACCTGAGTTCAGTCCCGACACCCAAATGGTGGAAGGAGATAACTGGTTCCCATGTGTTGTTCTCCACATGCTTTCCACTCATGTGTACAAGTACACTCATATAAAACCAGTAAATGTTTAAAAACCACTTGAAATGAATGAAACCAGTGGTCTTAGCGGTCACTCTCCAGAGGAGTAACCAGAAACAGTTAATTCCCTATACATGAATGGCCAGTTTTAAATTAAGAAAAAAGTCAAGTATTAAGGACTATGCAAACGTGGAAAAGGAAGTCAAAGGGACATTCTCAGAGAGAAATGCTCATTCTCACATCATTAGGAAAACCATACTAAGGCTGCATTTTCCACTGGTCAGCTAGTGGGAGAGGATCTGCAGTATCTGTGATACAGGCTTAGGTTGCTATGGAAAGAGGCTCAGGACATACTGAGGAAAAGAAGGGGAGACTGGCATGCTCCTTGTAGATGACTGTCTTCACAAAAACAAAGAGAAGAGACATGAGAGGAATCTAAAACCTAATGTCCAGCCAGGTATGTTTAAACACACTCAGGAGGATGAGACAAGTGGATCTCTGTGAGTTCAAGGCTAGCCTGGTCTCATTAGCAAGTTCTAGGCCAGAGAGGGCTACACAGTGAGACCGTCTCAAAAACAAAAACAACCAACTAGTGTCCAGACACAGTGACAGAAGAGTAACCCCTCTACAATGGATGTGGCAGGTAAAACCCCCATTCAACAATTCCTACACCTGGCCACCTTGGGACAGGGTTTCCATCACTAACATTAATGCATGCATGGTCTATCTGCTGAGGCTTCTATGAACAACTTCTTTCTGATTTTCTAGTAAGAAAGAAGCTTCATTTAACTAGAAACTCCTTTCTCTTGTCTGCTACTATTACTCAGGTACTAGCACCTGATGCCAAGTGTAACTACCACCATCAGAGATCTGCCCTTTGGGGTGGACAATGTCCTGCCTTCCTCACTTTATGGTGGTCCTCCTCTAGATGTCCTGAAGAGTGCTCATGAACTCAGTATTTTATGACCTACCATTTGCTGGCACACGAAGGACCCAGAACACATGAGTTATGAGCCACTTGCCTCAGCTTGACCTCACCACTTTAAGAGCCTCCTTATTTGATTCGATTCTTTTTTCTTAACATTTTATTTTTCTTTTGTGTGCTTATTTTGTTCCAGATTACCCTATCTGAACTAGAAAACATTTGACTATACTGCTACCTCAAAAGTACAAGCTGGTAACTGGATCACAGTGTCAACTGTAACTGATGGTTTTCACAGCAATGCCTGCATACATTTCAAGACAAGGTCTCACTATGTAGCCCTGGCTGGCCTTGAACTCAAGAGATCTGCTTACCTCTGCCTTCCAAGTGCTGGAGTCCCAGGCATGTGCCACCATACCCAACCATATTAGATTTCAGTTGGTTTGTCTAGCTGACAGGTTACATTTGTTTCTCAACTTTTCTGAGAGGCTTTCCTTTGTCACAGTCTTTATTTTCCTCTTACAAATCAACCTCTTACCAATTCTCTGCTGACTTCTCTGAATCAGGAAGCTACCACTATTCTTTGTAGAGTCTAGACTATTGCGAGGAATTCCTCCTGCTAATCAGTGACAGCTCCTTACTCCCCTTTCTCCTCTAGACCTTGTGTCCCCAATGGCCTGTCTACCTCCACCTGCCCAATTCCCTACTCTGCTTCTTTAGCTTCTCATCCAAAAGCATCCACCCTCACTTTCTGCTGCTAGGCATCCTGGCTACAGCTTGATTTTGCTCCTACAACTTTTCCTACTACCAGCTACTGATGATGTGGGCAGAGCCTGGGAATGGGACCCTATCATTTCACCAGCTGTCACTGTCAGGTTATGAGCATACTCCTTACCCAACAGCCAAGTGCTATTTAAGCTTCTCTTAGTACAATTCCTATTACTTGCAGCATACACTTTTAAAAAATTTTATTTTTATTTTATGTGCACTTGTTTTGCCTACATGTATGTTAAGTGTGAAGGTGCCAAGTCCCCTGAAACTGGATTTACAGACAGTTGTGAGCTGCAATGTGGGTACTGGGAATGGAACCCAGGTCCTCTGGAAGAGCAGTCAATGCCCTTAATCGCTGAACCACCTCTCCAGCCCCAGCATCCACTTTTTAAACAGGGGATTTAAATTTATATGCTTCTCTTCACAGTTCAAACACTTATAAAGAGCGTATCCCCCTCCCCCCCCAATCAGAGTCTTGCTATGCTGCTCCAGCTAGCCTTAAGAATCCTCCCTCATCAGCCTTCCAAGTAGCTAGGACTATATGCACATGCCATTAGGCCCAGCAGGCATTTCTTATCATCAGAACCCTTCAACATAAAAATGAAGACAGGACACAGTGGAGCACACCTGTAACTCCAGCTCTCTGGAGGCTAAGGCAGGAGGATCATGAGTTTAAGGCCCACTTGGTCAACACAGCAAAATCCTGTCTAAATAAATAAATAAAAAGTTCCTTACATCCTATGACTTAACCACATGTGGCTCATCTAACTCTGGACTAGATGGTAATGTCAGTCTTCTCAAGTCTAAGCAGAGATCAGCACAGCCTGAGAAGTTCAAGGCCAGTGATCGCTAGCCACCCACCATTCCCCACTTAGAACTGATGACCCCTTCAGGGCTACTTCTCTGCCTCCCAGTGTAGCCGTATCGCCTACCTTTCTTCCTCTTCACCTGCTCCTCTTCTCAAATACCCTGCTCTAGCCCTGAAAAGACCAAAAGGTATCAATCAAACTCTTTCTAAGAACCCAGCTGCAACAGATTCTCTCTTAGTGTAGAAATCCTGCCACACTTTATCCTGTACCTGCTTCCTCTGTGCTGAAGAGGAAAAGAAAAGGAAACCAGGTCCAAGGACAGACAGAGCCACCTCCAGGGGGCAGCACCTGCCTCACCTTTGTTAGCCTCTGAATGTTCTTCTTATAGAGAGATGACAGGCACTGCTTCACCAGGCCCATGTTGTTATCTCGAGTGAAAGTTTCACTGTGCTTGTTCACCAGGTTCCGGAGCTCTGACGGGTTATTCGTTGAATAAACTTGTGCTAACTCATGGTAAGCGTTGCTGAGAGGCTAGAGGTTTAAGGTAAGAAAAAAATTATAGCAGTTTGTTTTGAGACCATACAATGCATATTGCACTTTATCTAAAACAAATGATTCTTTTTAAGACCAAGGACAGAAATCCACTAAGAAATAATTTATTATTAATAACTTACAAAGACACACATCTTTTCTCTATCAGTGGTTCTACTTTTTGTACTGGTAAGTTAAATGAGAAAAATGAAGTCAAAATCATTATTCCCAACTGCCTCTCACCCCACATTCTCTACCAGGTGCAACAGGACAACTTGCTATTTCCATTCAGGAACTGGGCAGAGCAGAAAGAATGTAGAAGGGCCCAAGCACCACCATCAGACTGAAACTGATTCAAATGCACCTCTGACTGGTCTTGTCTTACCATCCACATTAGAGTAAGTTAACTAATTCTTAGGAGTACCCTCGGAGCTTTGAAGACAATCACTTTACAAAAGGCATTTCTCCTACAGCAGGTCTACTGTCTGCTCAGGGCCACTAGAGAGCTCAGTAGCTCTCAATGGTGCTCTGATTATGTCTCCCCTAAAAGGATCGCACTCATCACTTTCCCATGGAGCACTTTTAGCTACCTTCCCCTTTTGTGGGGGACAAGGCAGTCAAGTGTCTTGAAAGCCATGAGGAGCTCTAAGGCAAAGTTCAGGTGGCCATTTGTCAACAAATCAGCATGATATCAGACCGATGTCCCTAAAATTCTGAGGGTCTTTTTATTTATTTATTTTTTGAGACAGGTCTCTCTATGGAGCACCAGCTGTCCTGGAACTCTATATAGACCAAGTTGGCCTCAAATTCACGGAGATCCGACTGGCTCTGCCTCCTGAGTACTGGGATTAAAGATGTGCATTATCATGCCCAGCCTTAAAATTTTGAGTTTCATGATAGAGTGACATTATTATCAAAAGCACTGCAATCTCCTAACTCTTTGCAACTGCTCAATTTAAAAAGAAGTCATAGCCTGGTGGTGGAGGTGCACACCTTTAATCCCAGCACTTGGAAGGCAGAGGCAGGTGATCTCTGAGTTCGACACCAGCCTGGTCTATAGAGTTCCAGGGACAGTCAGAGCTACAGAGAAACCCTGTCTCCAAAAAACAAAAACAAACAACAAAAGAAAGAAAGAAAAATAAGTGAAATAAAAAGAAGTCATGAGCATATGGTATTTATTTAATTTTTTTTGCAGAGCTGGAGATTGAACCTAGGGTCTTGAGCATGCCAGGCCTCAGCTATGTCCCCAGCCCACATGTATGTATTTGTCATGTGCACACACATGCATGTGTCCAAACGAAGGCCAGAGGTCCATCTTATGTGTAATTTCTCAGGAGCCATCCACTTATTTGATGACACAAAATGTCTCAGTAGGACCTGAGACTCGCCTAAGGTTAGTGAGCCTTAGGAACCACTTGGTTTTGCCTTGTTCAACTTTTCACATGGGTTCTAGGAATCAAACTCACGCCAAGTACTTTATCAACTAAGCTATCTCCCCAATCCTCTTTCTATATGCACTTTAAAACAAACAAACAAAACAAAACAAAAAACCAATTCATTATTTTATTTTTAAACCTTGTCCCAAAGTTTGGTTGTCAGGGAGACCTGGAACAAGACAGTAGTTAAATAGAGCTTCAGTAAGGCATCCTAATATTTGAATAAATTAAAGTTCAATCAAATCGGAACTACATTTGCAATATTTTCACTAAAATGTAATAAAGAAATACAACATACAAATCCCCCCACCACAAGAGCTTAAACACCTACAGTCTAAGTCCAGAGCAGGGTCTGGAATCAGGCTTTACAAGACTGCATTGTTACTGGGGGGAAGGGGAGGGGGAAGAACAAGGGAATCCGTGGCTGACATGTAGAACTGAACTGTATTGTAAAATAAAATAAAAGAAAAAAAAGACTGCATTGTTACAATGTCTTCACATACAAACTACTATAGAATGTAAGAAAATCAGTTTTATTTTTAAAACTTACCTTAATAAATCTACCCACAATCTGAGATGTGTACTTAGGCAGCTGTTGTACTTTGCCAAGTAATATCAAAGACACTAAAATATACTTTTTATATGATTCCAACATGATATGGCTGACTGCCATGGCTGGAGTAGTAATAGCCTGAGCAAAAGAAGAATGAGGAGTGTGAAGAGATGGCATAATACAGCAGGAAACACCAACTGAGTACATGTATCCCTTTATTATAAAACGACAAGACTTAAATATCCATTATTATTAGGATATTTTTATTACATCTATTTATTTACTGAGTGTTCACATGTGCATACACCAGTGAACATTTAGTCAAAGGAGACATCCGTGGGAGTGACTCTCTTCCCACATGTGGCCCTTAGGACCAAACCCCAGTCAGGAGGCTGGGCAAGTACCTTTACCTGCTGAGCCACTATTTTAAAAGGGGGAGGTGTGAAAAGTCCCCAACTACCTCCAAGTCTGCTCTGAGTTTTCTGCAGCTGGGGAAACGGCGTAGGTGGGCTCATCCCCAGTACAATGGAGAAGCCTCACTCTGGGAAAACAATCTTGATCAAGGTGTCTCCCCTGCCAGGTTCAGTATATAACACTTTTGGTTTTTGTTTTTTTTTTTTGAGATAGACACTTGCTATGGCCCATGGCTGCCCTGGAAATCAAGAAGTGCCTACCGAGCTCCTGTGTATATGCCAGCATTTGTGGCTTGTGGCAGCTTTATTGATATATAACTCACAGTACAAAATTAGTTAATTAAATTAATTAATTGTTTTTTCAAGATAGGGTTTCTCTGTATAGTTTTGGAACCTGTCCTGGATCTCGCTCTGTAGACCAGGCTGGCCTGGAACTCACAGAGACCTGGCTCTGCCTTCTGAGTGCTGGGATTAGAGGCGTGCGCCACCACTGCCCAAAATTTACACCTTTGAAGTATATAATTCAGTGGTTTCCACTACCTTTACTAGTTTGTGATACAATTCCCATTATCTAATTCTAGAAGACCCCAGTCCCTCAAAAAGAAAGCCCTCCTCATCAGCAGTCATCGTTCCCCTTCCTCACAACCTCAGGCACCCACACTCTACTTTCTGTCTCTGGACACTTGTACAAAAGGCATCATAATAGGTGATCTTTTGTGACTGACTTCTTTACCTCAACAAGTGTTCAGTCCTGAGGCCAGCACCTCCCTTCTTTACATGGTTAAATGATTCTGCAGGTGGACGTTCTTCAGCTGATGAGTATGCTGGGCTGTTCCTACCTTTTGGTTCTACATGTTTTTATGTGTACAGTGTTTTTTATTTCTCTTGAATATATTCTTAGGAGTGAAACTGCTGGGTCACATGCTTTATTATAATTGTTTTTGTTTGTCTTTTGGTGTTTAGAGTTCAAGCCAAACCTTGAATTTATGAGCAAGGTAGACACTCTTCCACTAAGCTGAGTCCTCAGATCCTGAGCTTTGTCTCCCCCCACCCCACCCCCAGACACGGTTTCTCTGTGTAGTTTTGGAGCCTTTCCTGGATCTTGCTCAACAGACCAGGCTGGCCTCGAACTCACAGAGATCCGCCTGGCTCTGCCTCCCAAGTGCTGGGATTAAAGGAGTGCGCCACCACTGCCCGGCACCTGAGCTTTATCTTAACTGCTGAACTCTTTCCCAAAGTGCCTGTCATTCTGCAATCCTGCCCACAATTATGAGGGTCCTAAATTCCCTGAATCCTTGCTAACAGACTATCCTTGCCTGTCTTTTTAAACCTTAGCTCTCCTAGTATGTAAGAACCAGCAACACTCTGGGATTGTTCTGATCACAAGTTCAGAACCACATCACAGTCTTTAGAGAACTGATTACCTGCTCATAAAAGTAGAGTGCTCTTTCAAAGTTCTTCAGTCCCGTATAGATCATCCCTCCGTAATAATAGTAGCACAGAAAGTGTTTTGCATCATAGGCTCCATTCTCTTTACAGATATCCATCATATCCACATCAAGATATGGAAGGGCAGGTTTAAAGCACTTTGCTAGTAAACAAAGCTATAAAGAAATTTGTATTAAATCATTTTAAATTTCACCATGGCAGATTTAAAAGAAAACTCAGAGTCCAAAATTTTAAGATAATATTATTTTGCTTTACAGTTGATTAATGACATAAAATTAACACATTATATTTCATTTTCTTAACCTCTAGAATAAGAAAGCATTTCCTGATGGGTGTGGTCATTCACACTTATATCCTCAGGAGGCTGAAGCAGAACTGCTGCAAATTCAAGGCCAGCCTGGGCTACAGAGTAAGATTCTCTTTAAACAGAAAAGAAGCCAGGCAATGATGGTGTAAGACTTTAATCCCAGCACTCAGGAGGCAAAGGCAGGCTGATCTCTGTGAGTTCGAAGCCAGCCTGGTCTACAAAGTGAGTTCCAGGACAGCCAGGGCTATTACACAGAGAAACTCTGTCTGGGGGAAGAAAGAAAAAAAAAAAAAAAAAGATAAAAATAAAACAAAGTAAAAACACTAAGGTAGAACAAATCACAGATAAACTGAAAATCAGAATTTCACAGACACAGTTCAGTACCCATCCACCACTCATGAGTTTCTGGATGAGCGAATAGAATTCATTTTCGATTCACTGAACTAGTAAAACAAAAACAGACCAGTACTGCCTTCAATCCCAGCACTTGGGAGGCAGAGGCAGATGGATCTTTGTGATTTGAGGCCTGCCTGGTCTACAAAGAGAGCTCCAAAACAGCTAGAGCTACAGAGAGAGAGAAACCAAACACCAAAACAAATGCACAAGTACACAGGGGACATGATGTACCCAACAAGGGCCACAGTGGAGAGGCCTGCACTCACTGTGGAGCAGCCCTCGTCTAAAAATTAGATAAGGGGCACTTTGAAAAAATGAAAGATGTTAAGAAAAAGGAACATGTCGGTAGTCCACACCACAAACACTCCACAGTCTAGCTCCAGTGCGACCTATTCATATTACAGAAGGCTATGTAGCATAATGCACATCACATATTCATCTCCAAGATGCATTAAATAGGAAAAAGCAAACTATATGGAAATCCACACATTACTGGGATTTGTGGGCTTTGTTTTGTTTTTTAAAGAAAAAGTAGGTGTATACACTTGCTTGTATGTGTAAACGATTTTTAGAAGAAATGCACAAGAAAGTACTAACGAAGGCTGTAGGGAAGAGGGGCTGGCTAAAGAAACCCACCCTGACCCTGGAGCCCAGAACTAGGGAAAGATGGTTTGGATCAGAGCCATCTCTGCCCCTGGCCAACCAACCTGTGAAACCAACCAATCACAGAGCAGGAAAGTAGCACCCTGGCCCAGGAGCCCAGAACCAGGGAAAGAAACACAGCCTGGGTTTGGGACCTGAGCCAGAGAAATGAACACTCTCTCCCCAAACCCAGAACCAAGGAAACATGCCTGACTCTGAAACCAGTACCAAAGAAACACTCTTGGTCCCTGGAATCAGTCAGTGAAAGAAATATGCCCTGGCCTTAGAATTAGTGTCAAAAAGCCAAGAAAGGCCTGTGAAAGAAACACAGTTTGGCTCTGAAATCAGGGCAATCTCTGCCCATAGCTTACAAAACCGACCAATCTCTGGGCAGAAAAAAAACTAACCAATCCCTGGTTGACTCTGTCCCAAGACATCCTATATAAACCACACTGCCTGGTCAGTTGTGGGCTGTTCTCTCCACCCTGGCAGAGGCAGCTACTCTCCTGGACTCCTCCTTCCCAAATAAATCTCTTTCTCAAAGGAGTTTTGGGTGTGAAGATCTTCATTCACTGGTGCAGAGAAAAACCTTGCTGAGATGTCCCATAGTAAAGAGAGCAAGGAGGAGCTGAACAGAAAAACCTTGCTGAGACGTCCCTCAGTGGACAGAGCAAAGGAGAGCTGAAAAAATAACACTTTTCTCTAGAGCCATTTCTCCAGGGGTTTCCCCTTTTGCCGAGTGAAGCAAAAGAAGCAACATCTTAACTGAAGAAGAAGCAGAGCTCTGCTGGGAAGCCCCCTTAAGTGGGGGCTGAGCAAAGCTCAGCTGTAGCGGCTCTCTAGGAGGAGCAGGATTGCTATATCCTGCGGGGAGACCATCCCCCACCACACCAGGTACAGACCGACTCTCCCGAACAGTCAGGATACCCTTCCCTGCTGAGCTGTCCCAGCAGCTCGAGATATCTGGGATACCTCCAGGGCTGCTGTCTCATCACAGCTCCAGCCGTCACCTGACTCCCCAAGTGGCCAGGATACTTCTCCCCCAGAGTTGCAAAACTCCCATTTTGGTGCCAAAATCCAGGACCAAACCCACAGAGCTACAACCAACTTTGAAAAGAACTGTGGCTAGCAACAGTGCAGGGAGACCTCATCATACCTCCTCACATTAGGGAGTCTTTTGGACTTTGAGTTACTTAGATCAAGATAAATAAAAAATGTATCAAGATACAAAACATTGCCTGTGTTTTTACTCTAAGTTCCATAATTTAGTGAACAGAAAATGACTTAAATTTCAAAAATGCTACAACCGTTATGATGATCCTATTTGTAAGCCCCATCCTCCATATTTCAACCCCTACAAGACACTCTACACCCATTATCTCTACACCACAAGTGCCCACGACCAGCCTCACACCAATACCAGGTGTTATCACATACTTGCTGCATACCTGGCAGAGATCGGCATGGACTGAGGTCAGCTGGTTCGTATTCATCTGCATCTTGTCTATGGCTTGCTTAAGGATGCCAATTCCTCGAAGGGGCTGTCAGAAATGACATCTCTTTCAGATAAGTTCTCAAAGTTGGCAGCACATTGGATCTTATGTTGTCACTTACAAATAAAAAACAACACTAATTGATAGGTTCCTTCCGTAGCAATAAGGTTTCCATACTATGTCAGGAAATGTCTGCCTCTATTTAGTTAGAAAGTGTTTTGATACGTTTCTTGGAATACTTAGTTTCAACATCATTTTTAAATCAACTGAGTATCAGTAATAAACTGTACTATTTTCTTGAGGGTGGGGGAGATGGCTCAGGTGGTAAAGTTCTTGCCATATAAGTACCAGGATCTGAGTTCAATCCCCAGAACCCATGTAAAAGCTGGATGTGACAGTACACACTCAGAATTCCAGCACTCAGGAGCCAGAGATAGGAGGATCTCTCTGGTTTTCTAGCTAGCTAGTCTAGACAGTCAGAGGGCTCTAGATCCATGAGAGACTATCTCAAAAAAACAAGGTAGAGAGTGAATGAAGAAGATATCCAGTGCCAACCTGTGACCTCAGCATACATGGCTACATGCATACAAAACTAGAGTACTTTCCTAATAGTTAAACAAAGAGAACTTTTCTGCATCATTCACCACAGATTAGCACCGTAACTTAGAAGCTAAGCTTGTGAATGATGGTACTAGCATGTTTTCACACAGAGTATTAGCCCTCAAGACTCAATTTATAACCACATATCATGAGCAGACTGCTTCCCACCCCCAGTTACAAACAACAGTACTCAGCCTCAAGTGAGGCACAACTCTCTGGTCAAATATGAGGCTAAAAATACATACATAAATTTACAGCTTTTTCAATAAAGAGAGGCATAGTAACAGCTCTCCTCTTCTCTCCCCCACCACTCAGAAAAGACACAGTAGTTAACCACCCCCAAGACAGGGATGCATAGCCCAATTTAACCTTGAACTAGATATGTAGCCAATGATGACCTTGAATGCATGATCTTCTTGCCTCTACCTCCCAAGTGCTGGCACTACTAAGTTTTTTTTTGTTGTTGTTTTTGTTTAATGTGTACAGGTTTTTCTGCCTGCATGTATGTCCACGTACCACATGAGTACCTGGTGCCCTGGGTGCCCTAGAGCCAGAAGATTGGATGCCTTGGAACTGGAGTTATATTCAGTTATAACTCACCATGTAGATCCTTGGAATGGAACCCAGGTCATTAGCCAATGCTCTTAACCACTGACCCACCTTTCTATCCTCACAGCTTCTAACCAAACTGCTTAGTGCTACTACAGAATATCAAAGGCTCCTTCTGCCTTCAGCCTCCTAGCCTTAAAAGTTCATTTTCAAATAAAAAAGAAAACACCCAAATCATAATTTGTGCCAAAGGCAAAGTCTACGAACCATTGCAAGTGAAAGCAAACTAAAGAGAAACAACAGATTATCAACCTATGCTCTGAGGTCTGCTTCTGCCATCGAGAACATCAACCATATAGCTGGCCACTTCTGGCTATTCTGTGGTTTTGTGAGAGTATTATCTTAAGATCTATTTCCAGATGCCGACCATCTTCACTGTGGTCTATGAGAATGTCTAGAGAGCCCCCACTGCAGTATTTAAGATAAGGAACAAATATCTCAATTGAATTTCAATGGGGGGAGGGGGATTAAACAAGTGCAGGGAAACACTAACATTTGGAGAATCTAAGTCAAGAGCATATAAAAAGTCTTTATATTATCCTTTCAGCGTTTTAGAAGGTGAAAATCATAGTTAAAAGCTAAAAGGAAAAAACAAAAATAGCATCATTGTAATACAAAGGGCACTAATTGGCAGTTTTCAGTTTGTTTTGTTTTTTTCTTCCTTCAGCACTGGGCATGGAGCCAAGTACCTCATACATGCCAAGCAACTGCTCTACCACTGAGCCACATCTCCAGCCCAGACTTGCAGCTTCAAAAACAATCCTCACTACCAGTCACCTCCCTGGAGGCATCACATCTAGCCAAAGGCTGCTCTCCAGGAACCACACATATTGGAATGTTGAGTACTAAACCTAGATGTTCACTATGCTAGTTCACGAGTCAAACACACATTTTAACAGAACTATGAGTATTTGAATAACATTTCTTACCTGTTTTCTTTCCACAAGTGCATTTGTTAGCTGATGGCAAAGCCCAGCAACTAGATGTAACAATAACAAAAAACAATAACAAAATATTGAAAATATAAACACTACAAAAGAAAATACATTCAGGAAGAGGAAATATTATTAGCTTACATGTATCTGTTGCATATCGAATGTGCTCGCCATTACAAGTACTAATGAAAAGCTGAACCTGTGAGAATAGTGTTTCAAAGTCAGGAACACTGGGCATCGAAAACTTCACAAACCTAGAATGGGGAGAAAAAGAACCAAATTATCTTGTATTTCATATGGTAAAGGACAGAAACAACTTAAGCCTGAAGTCTACCCCACCTCTGTGAGATTAAGTATCACAGGAGTGGAGAGATGGCTCAGTGATTAAAAGTACTTGTTACTCTTTTTTTTTTTTCCTTTAAAGATTTATTATGTATACAGTGTTCTGCCTGGGTATGTCCCTGCTGGCCAGAAGATGACACCAGATCTCATTACAGGTGGTTGTGAGCCACCATGTGGTTGCTGGGAATTGAACTCAGGACCTCTGGAAGAGCAGTCGGTGCTCTTAACCACTGAGCCATCTCTCCAGGCCCCTCTTGCAGAGGACCTGGGTTCAAGTCTCAGAACTATATGATGGCTCATAACCATAACTTCTTTTTTTAGGGGATCTGATACAATCTTCTGATCTCCACAGGCATCAAGGATGCAAGTGGTGCACATGTATACATGCAGGCAAAACACCGAAAAAATATAAAAACAAAACAAAACAAAAAACAAAAAACAAACAAGCTGGGCAGTGGTGGCACATGCCTTTAATCCCAGCACGTGGCAGGCAGAAGTAGGTGAATCTGAGTTCGAGGTCAGACTGACTAGTCTATAGAGTAAGTTCCAAAACTACACAGAGAGAAGTCCTGTTTGGCAGGAGGGGGGGAAATAATAATAATAATAATAATAATAATAATAATAATAATAATAAAGTATCAGAATCCACCAAATATTCCTGGCCTGTTTTTTCCCCTCCTCACAATACAGAACAAAGATACAAACAGAGGTTAAGGACAACATTCAGAATAAAAAAACATTTTTTTTTTTTTTTGAGACAGGGCCTCTCTACAGAGCCCTCTCTGGGTGTCCCAGAACTCATGATGTAGCCCAGGCTAACCTCAAACTCACAGAGACCCACCTATCTCTGCCTCCCAAGTGCTAAGATTAAAGGTGTGCACCCCTAGGCCAGGTTCAGAATGGAAAAAACCCTTAGATGAGGTCAATCATTAGGTTATATAAATAACATCTATGAATAACTGAGTCTAAACTTTTATCACGTATCCAATGTAATTGGGTTTTTCGTTTATTTATTTTTTTCTTTAAGCCCCAAGTGGTCAGGACACTTACTCAGTTAAGAATCAGTTGCTAGCCAGGTAGCATACCTTGGAGGCAGCGGCAGGTAGGTCTGAGTTTGAGGCCAGCCTGATCTACAGAGCGAGTTCCAAGACAGCCAGGGCTGTTACACAGAGACACCCTGTACTGAAGAACCACAAAGAATGAGTTGCTCAGGGCCACTATGGTGCTCAGCAGGTAAAGGCATTTGCAGCCAAGCCTGACAACCTGAATTTGATCCCCAAGAGTGACATGGAGGAAGGAGGGAACCAACTGTGGTGAGCTGTCCAATGACCTCTATACATGTGGGACGACGTACATGTCCCTCCTCCACACAAACAAAATAAATACACATCATTTTATTTAATCTCTTGTTACTTTTCTTATTTTGGAGAGAATGTACTCAAGTAAGGCAAAGAGAGGGATGGTGTGGCAGGAGGCTGAGGCAGTAGCCCAGGTTCAAGATGCTGTGGCCAGTTGGATGCCGTTTCTTGTCTGGAATATTGAAAGAATTAGCTGACAGGCAAAATAAGAAAGAGGGGCAGACATAACAGGGAGCACTCAGATGACCCATCTTGAGTAACCAGGCAGATGGTGTCATGGCTGCCATGAGACACGTTCGGATGGGCTTGCAGAGAATTTCAGGATAGAAAGCTGCCACCACTAGGGCTCTAGAGCAAAGTTCATGATCTCTTAAAACAACAACTGTTGAAATTAATTCAAGAAAAATGGTTGATTCTCCTATATCTAAATTTTCGTTTGGCTACCTTCATCTATACAGTACCATTTAACAATGTCACTATATATTTGTAATTATTAAGATGTACCAGAAACAATTTCACAGCAGTTAACAAAGCACTGTGATGTCCACCTGAAAAAAGGCAGAAGTTCAGGGCTCACTTTCTGAAAGTGAAAGAATATAGATTTAAGTGAGGCTTCAGACACAAGTTCAAGGTTCTTCCCACACAGTATCTACATATAACTGACATACAGTGGTAAGACACCATACAGCATCAATGTGTTTTCATGGTTATAGGCACTAACACTAGGGAGACTAAGGCAGGAAGATGGTGAGTTCAGGACCAGCGTGTACTAAACAGTGGGCCAGGGAGATGGCTCAGAGGGTAAGGGTGCTTACAGCCAAGGCTGAGGACTGAATTTGATCCCTGAAACCTCACAACAGGAAAGTCCCAACTCCCATAAGTTGTCTCTGACCCTCTGCACATGCATGTAAACACACACAAATACACGTAAAAAGTATGTTTTTACATAGATCTTAAATATACATACTATCTGCTCTTTCATATCAGTAAGAAAAATACATCTTTTTTAAAATTTCTTTTAAAAATACAGAATTCCTAATGTGATTGGGGCCAGATGTTTATTATTTTAAATGCCCTGACAAAATCCCCATATACTACAACAGCAAAACAAATTCTATGAGACACCGTTACAAGGAACTCTAGTTACAATAGGTTTAAAAATTTGTGGCAGGCCATAAGAAGATAGGTCACGAACTGTAGTCCACACTTTCCTATTCTATTGTCTATTTTCTTTCTAAGTTAGAAAAGGTGGGTAAGTCTCTGAGATAAATGCAAAATATAATGCCTAGAGTTGTAAAAGCCAGTCATTTTTTTAAAAGACATTTCCAAGGGGCAAAATGGCTCAGAGGTTAAGAACACTTCCTGTTCTTGCAGAAGACCTTAGTTCAGTTTCCAACACCCATGCCAAGTGGCTCACAACTGCCTCTGACTCCAGCTCCTCTTCTGTCTTCTAAGGGCATCCCCAACATATACACACACATTTTTTAAAAATTTAAAGAACTTTCAAACTTGTATAAATACAAACAATGAGTCAAAATGATGAAACTGGAAGCTGGAGAGTTCACTTAGCAGTTAAGAGAACCTGTTTCTCTTGCCTGGATTAGGTTTCTCTTGCCTGGATTAGGTTCAGTGCCCACATGGTGGCTCACAACCACCCATAACTCCAGTTTCAGGGGAATACAACACCCTCTTCTGACTTTTGTGTGCACCAGGAATGCATGCAGTACACATCTGTATATGCAAGCAAAATACTCATACTCATAAAACCAATAAATCTTGGCCGTGCAGTGGTGGTGCACACCTTTAATCCCAGTACTCAGGAGGAAGAGGCAGGAGGATCTTTGTGAGTTTGAGGCTATCCTCATCTACAAAGCGAGTTCTAGAACATACAGAGTTGTTACACACAGAAACCCTGTCTTGGAAAACCTTAAAAAAGAAGTCAGTAAATCTTCCAAACAATGATAAAGCTGGAGCTAGGTGTAGTGGTGCACACTAATCCCAGCATTCAGAGACAGAGACAGGGGATCTCTTAGTTTGAGTCTAACCTGGTCTACATAGTGAGTTCCAGGACAGCTTGGGCTACAGAGAGACCCTGTCTTCAAACAAACATCATGCGCGCGCGCGTGCACGCGCGCGCACGCACACACACACACACACACACACACACACACACACACACACACACACCGGTGCACACTAGAAAGCGCAGATTGTGACAAGCACAAAACTATAAAAGAAAAAAATGCCCTTACAGAACAGCAAGGACACCCAGGGAGTGTTCTTGAACATCTAGCGCCCCAAGCACGGTGTCCAGGTGGGACAAGTTCTTCGCAAGCAGCTCTCCACTCTTGTTGATCAGCTCACAGAGCTGAGTCATTTGCCCTGCAAAACAGAACAACGCGAGTGCTGAGTTAGGGTGCGAGCCAAGCTAAAGACCTCTCCAGACTTCCTTCTCGAAGCTCAAGTACTTAGGGATAATTTTTTTTTTTTTAAATTTTTTTGAGACAGATTTCTATGTATAACAGACCTGGCTGTCCTAGAACTCTTTCTGTAGCCCAGGCTGGCCTCGAACTCAGAGATCCACCTGTCTCTGCCTCCTGAGTGCTGGGATTGAAGGTGTGCGCCTTAAAGAGGATCTGTCATGTCTGTTATGTCTTCCTGTACTGGCAAGGACCAGAACAAACAACTTGCCCATGCCTCACAACTCAAAGTGTCAGAGAAACACTTTCCCACTCCCTCTGGTCTCCAGAAAGCACCTCTAGTCCCCAAGCCAGAAACAGACGTTCCCTCACTCCCTCTCTCACAACCAAACAGCACTTAATTTATTCCCCAAGCTCCTCAGCTCCATCCTTTCCCTCTCTCGTCTTAAGCTGACTTTATCACTTCTCATATGGATACATATGGCTTTTACACACCTGGCAGTGGTGGCGCACGCCTTTAATCAAGGTGCTCAGGAGGCAGAGCCAGGCGAATCTCTGTGAGTTTGAGGCCAGCCTGGTCTACAGAGTGAGATCCTGGACAGTCAGAGCTACAAAGAGAAACCTGTCTCAAAAAACAAAACAAAACAAAACAGGACAAGAAATCCAAACACATCAGCTCAACTTCCAGAGCCAATTTAGTACCTGGTTTCTGCAGTTTCTCTAGCCACGCCTCCTACTTCTATCCCCACAGCCCCCCATCTTCAGTCACACCCCGCTGAGAAAAATCAACATTCCACATTATTCTCTCCTCTTTGTGCTTCTGTACATATGATCTTCCACCTGCTACCCGACTCACCTCCCCTTCAATCATCAGCTTAGACAGTCTCTGAGCACACACACACACACACACACACATTCCCTGTGACTCAACTATCAGCCCTCTCTGCCCTCCCTGAACTACAAGGGATTGTGGTGGTCATGTAATTCAAAGTCAAGTCAAGTGTGAGGGACTATGCTACTTCTCCAGTTTGAGAATAAAGTGCCTACTGCAGCTTGTTGAATTAATCTCCAAACTGACAAAAAAAAAAAAAAAAAAAAAAAAAAAGTCCACTTAATAATAGTGGTCTAGTGTGGCTGGGGGTGGAGACACCTTTAACCCCAGCACTCAGGAGGCAAAGGCAGGTGGATCTCCGCAAATTTCAGGCCAGCCAGGATTACATAGTGAGACCCTGTCTCCAAAACAAACAAAAACATAAATGCGTGTTTATAGACAGCATGTTTATAATATAAAATTTAACAGAAACCTCTCCATCCAGATTCCATACTCTAGCCACCCTTATCTTTCCTCAGAAACAGATCAGTGCTATCAATGAATGCCTTACATATCCTTCTAGAGATAGTCCACATGTATGGGGATGCTTGCCCATGGATGCATGCAGTTTTTCTTTTTATTCACAGGGATGTGAGTGTGTCACACACACTATTAAGCATCTTTCTGCTATTAAATGATGACCTCAGATTCCTTTTCAGTTCATAAAAAGTATATGCACTTTTCTTTCTACAGCTGCACAGGAGTCCAATTGTATGGCTGTGCTATACTTAATTTTATTTATTTGTTTTTTTTTTCCCCTGAGACAGGGTTTCTCTGTGTAACAGCCCTAGCTGTCTTGGAGCTCACTCTGTAGACCATACTGGCCTCACACTCAGATTCTCCTGCCTCTGCCTCCTAAGTGCTGGGACTAAAGATGTGCATCACCAACTGGTTGATTGTATTTTTAATTGTATGTATGTGTCTGTATGTGGGTATGTGCATGTAAGTGAAGGTGCTCAAGGAGACCTGAAGAAGGTATTGGGTTTTGGATTCCCTGGAGCTCATGTTACGAGTAGTTGGGAGTCACTAACAATGCTAGAACTGAACTCAGGTCCTCTGAAGGGTAGTTAGTATTTCCCAAGCCATCCTCCAGCCCCACTTAACTTGTTTATTTAGAGATGGGGGGGGGGGTGTCTCATTGTGTAGTGCTGGCTGGCCTTGAACTCAGAAGGTCCACCTACCTCTGCCTCCAGAGCGCTGACTGGGATTAAAGCAGTACACTGCCACACTCCTGTTGGTTGATATTTTGTTTGTCATGGCTGCTGCTCTGCCTCTTTGACCCCGCCCCCCCCCCAAGACAGGGTTTCTCTGCGTAGCTTTGCGCCTTTCTTGGGAGTCACTTGGTAGCCCAGGCTGGCCTCGAACTCACAGAGATCCGCCTGGCTCTGCCTCCTGAGTGCTGGGATTAAAGGCTTGCGACGCCACCACCCGGCCGCCTCTTTGATCTTTCAAGCAAGCTTTATTTGTCAGAACACAAACAAAATATCACCCAACACGCTCCCACTTAACTTAAATCCTATCTGTGTGGTATAGATAAATGATATAATTAAAAAACAAAACAACTCACAAATATGTAAGTGGCCTGTGGGCTTAATAAGGAACCGAGAATTACTATTTATTTTGCATGGTTTCATACAGTATCATCTAAACCTTATAACAGCAGTCCCGACACACCTCCTCTCTCTCTCTCTTCTACAAACGGAGATGAGTCTAACCTCACAGAAATTTCCACGATGTCAACAATAGCTTGTAGTCATACTTATTGTATCCCATAAGAAGCACTGTCTCAAGCATTTTTTCTAGTCTTCTCCACTCAATTCCCTCAACTCCATTAAGGAGAGATCACATTTTTCTGGCTCAAGATTATGTGTGTCCAAGTGATTAAGATGAATGAACCAGACAGCATGTCAATTTAGGGAAAAATAAAGTAACAATTCTACGCCCTAGAAATGGAGTCCGACAAGTGAGAGCTCCCCTGGAGTTCGGTACGACCAAAAAGGAGCGGAGGATTCCGAGCGTGCGCTGCTGGCCAGCCAAGGCTCAGGCCTCAGAGCCAAGGAGCCCAGAAAGGAGTCTCCTCCAGCCGCTCCAGAGGCCTGGACAGGGCGGCCAGGCCGTCAGGACAGACAGGGCGTTTAACCAATCACCGGAAAGAAGGGATGGCCCAGGGACCAATGGGTGCTCCAGAATGCCTCTAGCGGAAGTCACGCCCCCAAACTGTCAAGCGGCGCACGGTGGCAGGGGCCCGAAAGCCAAGGGAGGGGGGCAAAGGGGGAGGGGGAGGAAAAAGTACCCAGAGCCCGAGACAGGGGAAGGCGACGGCGGGGACGCCAGCGTCCGACAGCACGCGGAGGGCTGCTCGCCGCCGTGCGCTCCAGCCCTAAGGGCCGAGACCCGAGCAGGTCCGGGGGGAGAGGCTAGAGCTAGAGGCGCTCCCGGCCTCCGCGCCGGCGCCGCGGCGTGCGGGCCCACCCCTGCGGCACAGGCCTCACCTTGAGCCGAGAGCTGTCGGACACTGTTCACGAACTGCTCCAGAGCAGACGCCATGTTTCCCCGCTGGAGGCCCGGGCAGCAAGGGTGGCTCGCGCGGGAAAAGGCCGCCGCTCTAGGAGGAGGGGCCCCTCGACCCACCGAAGCCTGGAGGGAGGCACGTCACTTCCGCCGGCCGAGCACCGCGAGATCTCACCTGGCTGAGGACCACCCCACCCTCCGGTCTCCATGGAAACAGTTCCGCCAGTCGCCGGAAGTTAGTTTCCCCTCCCTCGTCTCTTGGGGTCGAGCCCTGGGGAAATCTCAACTCGCATGAAATGGAAATAAGTAAGAAAGGAAGGAGTAATATTTAAGGACAAAACATCGGGGCCCAGTTTTGCTGAGAATGGCCGAACATGTTTCACCCAGCTACATACTTCTGACATAGCTCCACTGTCACTTCCGGAAAGTTTTTTTTTTTTCTATGAGAACTCAGGCTGGCGTCAGTTGGGCTGGGTTTGGAACCGTTTTTAACCACTTAGCAGCTGTGTGATTGAGTGGCTAGCTTGTCTCTTATTTTAACCACTTGTAAAAATCTCAAGTGGTTTAAAAAAAAGAAGCCGGAGAGTGAGAGATGGCTCAGTAGATAATGGTGCTTGCTGCCAAGCTTGATGGATGCCGTTTAAGGGGTGCAAGAACGGCTCCTTTTCTCTGCCAATTAAGGGTCTACAAGGCAGGAAAAAAGTGTTAGTAATGAACCAGCCAGCCTCCATCTTAGGCTTAAAAGCCATTTTATAGTAAAGACAAACTAGGTTCTTTCCTCTTTATGATTAAACCTCTGTTTTTCAAGGATTGGGCGATGCCCCCACCTTAATTACAAATGGTTCTGTACTGCCTGCTCCAGGAAAGGACAACCGTGCCTTTGTTTCAAAAAGTTGTTTATAACCATCTTGCAACCCTACCTTTGTGTCAAAAGGTTGCTATGACTACCTATTGTTATGGCTGCCTTGTTAGACCACCTTGCAATCTGCCTAGCAGTCTTGTCTTTCAAGATCTTGTTATGACTAACTTATGCTCATGTTCTGCTCCTGAAACCCTTCCAGTTTTGCCAGCCAAATCCCCCTCTGCTCCCGACCTTATAAAAACCTTGCTTTCCTCACATCCAATGCTGACCTCTTGAACCCTACCTTAGGGGGAGGCAGCCCATGTCTATGAATAAAAAAGCTTGCTTTAATTAATTTGGCCATGATGATTTGGGTCAGCAGTCTTTTCTCCTCAAATCTTTGTTATTAACATTACCAGAAATCTTAGGGCACCCCAGCAGAGCCATCATATGGTGAATGGGAATCAGAGTGCTCCTTTGGATTTCTTGGTTAACAAAAGAGTTAGACACTGAAATAACCTAGATGAGAAAATCATGAATCACCACACCTTCTTCAGCCAATTAATAAAATGAGTCCTCTAGCTGGCTCACGAAGGGCAGGCTCATGCCTGGGAGAGGCCTTGGTGCCAAACAAAGGCAGGTAAGGTTTTTAAAGTCAAAGGCTGCAATTACATCACCTCTGGTGCAGGCCCAGAGTTCTTTGTTTTTTGTTTTTTACAGTGTGACTTTTGATCTGAGAGGATGACAGGGTTGCAGCCATCTTAGAGAAGGGTCAGACTGGGGGCCACAGGCCCTGGGGAACCCACCAGAGGATGTGCTGCTCCTGCATCCTTAGGCCCTGGGAAACTCATCAGAAGATGTGCTGCCCCTAGACCCAGACAATTAGGGACTGCACACCAGACATTTCCTGCCATAACCTAAAGGATATGATATAACATAACTGGCATAATAAACAAAGCACCAGATATGTCCTGTGGGATGTTTTCTGCTGTTATAGATTGTATACCATAGCTGTCAGAGGGAATGAGTTTCCTGCAGATAAGAAATGGGATGTCTAACTATCAGAAGAAATGGGTCTGCTGGCAAAATACAGTAACATAGTTTGCTAGAGGAGATGGCAATTTCCTTGCAGCTGCAACTCTCCATTCAGTTCAAACCAAGCGTCTCTAACTTGAAGTAAGCACCAATCCTGAGCTTGTAACTACATAGAGTTGGAATTCCCCAGATCCCCTACCCTAACCATTATAGAAACCCTGCTTCATTGCTACTCAGGGTCTCTCCTGCTCTGCTGCTTCGTCAGATGGAAGGAGAGGCGTGGGTTAACTTGAAAACAATAAAAAGACTCTTTGCTTTTGCATCGGATTTTGTCTCTTGGTGGTCTTTGGGGGACTCTGGGTACAACAGATCTTTAAAACATTACCGGGGCTGGAGAGATGGCTCAGAGGTTAAGAGCACTGACTGCTCTTCCCAAGGTCCTGAGTTCAATTCCCAGCAACCACATGGTGGCTCACAACCATCTGTTATGAGGTCTGGCGCCCTCTTCTGGTGTGTAAGCAGAATACTGTATACATAATAAATCTCGGACAACTGTGGCTTATAATAAATTTCGGTTTTACTCAATTATTGAAAAAAAAATAGCCAAACAAATGGAAACACATGAACTATGAACCAATGGCTGAGGGACCCCCAACTGGATCAGGCCCTCTGAATAGGTGAGACAGTCGATTGGCTTGATCAGTTTGGGAGGCAACTAGGCAGTGGGACCAAGTCCTGTGCTCATTGCATGAGTTAGCTGTTTGAAACCTGGGGCTTATGCAGGGACGCTTGGCTCAATCTGGGAGGAGGGGACTGGACCTGCCTGGACTGAGTCTACCAGGTTGATCACAGTCCTTGGGGGAGGCTTTGCCCTGGAGGAGGTGGGAATGGGGGGTGAGCTGGGGGTAAGGGGAGGGGGTGGGAGTGGGGAGAACAGGGGAACCCATGGCTGATATGTAGAACTGAATGGTATTGTAAAATAAAATAAAAGGGAAAAAAAACACATTACACAAGGCCCTTTCTCCAGCAGTGGTTCTCAACCTTCCTAATATTTCAACCCTTATAATACAATTCCTCATGTGGTGACCCCAACCATAAAATTATTTTGTTGCTACTTCATAACTGTAACTTTGCTACTGTTATGAATCATAAAGTAAATATCTAATATGGGACCCAAAGGGGTCATGACCCACAGGTTAAGAATCACGGCTCCAGAGGACCCAAACTATTCTTATACACTAGGACCTTTTCTCAGCAGAGAATGAGGGCCTTTTTGGTGTTGTAAACCATTAAGAAGAGTGAGAAGCCATTTGTGTACAGACAAATGTGGCTCCCAAGTGGAGAAGGCACCCGGTCGAAGCCACCTGACCTTTTCTAAGTCATTTCGCATAAGCAGAAGCTCAAGAAAAAAGAATGGAAAGAAATGGAAGCTTGAGAACAATTTTTATTATCGTTTAAAAGTAAAACCCTAGGGCAGGCAAACTAAGTCTCAGGACTGCCTGGAAGGGAGGAGGAGAATGGAGAAGAGAAGCAGCGTAAGTCACTCAGCTCGATGAGGCAGCCTGGAGGTCAGCCGTGGGATGGCAGGGAGCCCAGCAGTGAGGAGCTTTAGAAAGGAGTAAGAAGGAGTCACAAAGCATATTTAGGTTCCGGCTAGCATGAGCAAGAAGAAGAAGAAGAGGAAGAAGAAGAGTTCCTCCTTTCTGAGCCGCCAACCTCCGGTGGCTTGGCTCCTAGAGGCTGCACTAGGGGGCAGAAATTCTGCAGAAGAAAAGAGCCTTGTCTAAGATGACTCTGCCTCCTTAGAGATGGCCCCTTAGCCAGGTGGTTGCAAGATTCTCCTACAGAGGCAGGTCACTAAGGCTACCCGCCAGGAGGCAGCACTTATTTGTGCTAGCACTAGCTCAGCGGATTCACATTCAAAGACCCAGCTCTGAGGACTAGCCTTATATACTCATTAGTTTCCCCTGACATTTTAGCCCCTTTGGCACCCTTAGGTGACAACATACATTTTGGCTGAATGGTTTATGTTACAGTTATAACAGACTCACTCCCTCTCTCTCTCTCTCTCTCTCTCTGACACACACACACACACACAAGCATTGATTATGTCACATTATTCCTTTGTTCTTGGGAGGCCCTTACCACATTCCTCCCCTTTGGTGCTTGGAACTCCCTCTTTGAGTTTAAAGAGCATCTGCTGCGGCCCCTGCAGCTGGAGCACAAAATCTGGCGAGGGACGCCAAGGTTAAACAGCACTCCAGACACCCAGTTTCAGTTGTCAGGGAAGCAGCTCTCTTTATTTCCACCAACGTGGGCTTATATAACCCTCCAACAGCAGGAGTCAAGGAATGGTTACTCTGTATCCGTAGGCAAGCCGGACACTGTTTTCCAAACAGGAAAAAACATAGGGGAACTGATCCCCAGCACCCTCCAGAACCCAACTGCACATTTCACACAAACAACTGGGACAGGACAAAAAGGACATTTAAAATTAAGGCAGCAAACTTACTGCTGCCAACATGTCCTCTCTTTTTATTTTCAAAAGGAACACATCGGCTAGAACAGCCTGTGGAAGATCAGATAGTCCCTGCCTTAGGTCACCTGTTGCAATCCTCAAACGTACCCATCATAGGGGGCTGCCCTTATGCCCCCTGCCTTAGGTCGAATGAGGACCACAGGAGTTGCCCGTCTCTGGGTACTATCTGTCCAACATTTGTGACCACATTTGTGCAGATTCAGAGGGTGACATGGCCAGAAGGGCTTGTTTGGTTACCTGTCGGTGTCCAGTGAACTGGCGTTGCCATCGGCATAGCAGAAATAACCCAATTCCCATACCGCCTGCACAGATTAATAAGAGGGAAACAGACCCTGCCCATCCAGTGATCCACCCAGTAGCTTTAAACATTAATGACCATCAGGTCTGTTCATTTATAGGAACAACTCTAGTTTTATCAATCCTTAGTTCAAAAATGTCCCATTCCAAGGCCCTCGCAAATAAGCATTCAATTTTGCAATCTTGGCCGATGCATTAAAAGCTGCATGAGGGGTTACACAAACTTCTGACATTCCATAAGCACATAACATATGTTGGTGTATTCACAACATATCTATTTGTTCTTATAACAGTGCTGCTTGCTGATTAAGCATCAGAATTCCAAAGTGAAATTGTCCATTCAATGTTCGCTGAATGTCCGAGGCACCAACCACCCTCTCAGATAATGTGTTGATAATGGCAGCCTGTTGAACAGTCTGAGACAATGCAAGCCCAGCAGCTGTAGCAGCAACAGCAGATGCAGCCATAGCCGCAACAATTGTGGCAATAATGCCCAAGTCTCTTCTTGTCCTCTTCAGTTGCAGTGGAAACTGATCAGAAGGACTCTCCTGAGGCATCACTGCAAATGCAGGTATTCTCACAATCACTGCATGGGACCAATTTGTACTCCAGCAATTGTTCAAGCTACAATTTAGAACTGAACAGTTTAGTAGCCCCTCCCCTCCCACATCACCATTCCAAACAACAAGAGGGAAAGGAGCACTTGGAGACCCACAGCATGGGACATGCTGGAACTACCTACAAAGTCTGCCAAAGAAGTATTATTACTCAAGCCTAGGCAATCATGAAGGCTGCCTTTCAGATTCAAGGAGATACCATTGATATTATTCTTGCCAGCTGTACTATTTTTCTCAAAACAAAGAGCATTTTTTTTAACTGCAAAGTAATATTTACAAAACCTTCTTGGAGTTTTACATTGCTGGCAGCAGTACTGAAAGACCCCCGGCTGAGATCTTTCTCCGGGAGAGACCCCAAACCCAAGGAACACACCGAAACCACAGATCAGATGCAAAAGCAAGAGGGTTTATTTAGACCAGGTACCTGGGGCGAAGTCTCTTGGAGGACTTGCGCGCTTTCCTAGGGCAAGGGGGACTTTTTATGGGATCCCAGGGGCAGAGGCGCGGTTACAGAAGCGAGAAGCATAGTTACAGGGTCCCTATTGGTTGTTTCAAAGAAGGCCAGGGTGAACTTGGGGTCGTATGTGTGTGGCTGATTTGGCCTTGTCCAGGCCAGCTGCTTATTCCTCAAGGCCAGGGGGCCAGCCATAAAATATCCTGATTTGACTTAACTGTCTTTCTCCCAAGGCCGTCGACCACGGTTATCTCTCTCAAGGCTGGGTGGCTGGCCATAGTTATCTCTGTCAAGGCCGGGTGGCTGGCTACGGCTGTGAACTCCTGTTTTTCTGATTCTTTTAGAATGGCGTTTCTTAGGCTAAGTTATAGGGGGGGGGGAGCATTTCATTGGCCCAAAGCCCCATGTCCTCATAATGGAGCGGGGGTCTTTCAGTACCAATTGTCCAATTAGAAGAAAATACAGCAGGAAAAACAGGGCTATTGATACTCACAGGTAGTAACACAGGTGGATTTCTTACTAAACTCTGTAATGGCTCAGCTTCTCCCTGAGGCATCATCTTTTCAAGTTAAAGGAACATGCTCCCGGACCACCTGTCCAGCTTGATTCTGAGTTTCAATGGCTGGATATGTTTCCTGCTACACCCCCCCCCCGCTTTTTTTGTCAATATGCTTTTGTATGGTGCAATTTTGTTGTTTTTTTTTTTTATCTTTTTTTAGTTGTTCTTTTTCTTTTATTAAATCTGAGACAGAGGCAAGATAATCGTCTTTTTTTAATCTATTAAATTTTTTTACAAATATCCTTATACGCTCTTTATAGGGGACCTTGACCTCTTTTTTTTTTTTTTTTAAAGATTTATTTATCTCTGCCTCTTGAGCGTTAGCAAATGTTTGATGTTTGTTCCCACTCAGAAAGTTGTTCTTTTATTTTTACTTTTAGAAGAGCATCTTTTACAAGTCTCCATAGAGAAAATGTAGCTGTAGGAAATTTATCTGTGCCCTTTTCTTGTAACATCTTTTGTAAATTTTTTTTACTTGTTTTTAATTTGGAATATTTAAACCTCCTCCCATCAGAAACCAAGGACTTGTTTTAGCTATGGTGTCCACAAATGTGAGTGTGGTGTTAGACTTAATTTTTGTTTTTTGTTTACTTAATTCTTGTTCCTTGCTTACTTAACTTAATTTTTGTTTTTCAGTGGCCAACTGAGCTTTAGCTGTGGAATTTCTTATGGTATGTACCCTATTTTATTTTGTTACATTTAATCCTCCCCCTTCCTTTGTGAAGGTGAGCCTCGTTCTCTTACCCCTCTTTCCAGGTCCCGGTGGTGACCTCCACTTGCTGCGGCCCGCGCAGCTGGAGCACAAAATCTGGCGAGGGACGCCCAGGTTAAACAACACTCTAGACACCCAGTTTCAGTTCCTCAGGGAAGCAGCTCTCTTTATTCCTACCAACATGGGCTTATATAACCCTCCAACAACAAGAGTCAAGGAATGGTTACTCTGTATCCTTAGGTAAGCCAGACACTGTTTTCCAAACAAACAAACAAACAAACAAACAAAAAACCATAGGGAAACTGATCCCCAACACCCTCCGGAACCCAACTACACATTTCACACAAACAACTTAACTGGGACAGGACAAAAAGGACATTTAAAATTAAGGCAGCAAACTTACTGCTGCCAACAAGCATCATCTTGGTTTAAGGGTTTATATGAGTGGCCATCTTTTGACCATGGCCTCAATTAGGCTAGATAGAGACCGATTACTAGTAGAGACAGGCAGCACAGTGTATGTGAGCGGGGGTGGGGGGTGGGAGTGGGGTAAAGAGACTGCTGAAAAGGCAGCTTCATTAGGGGGAAGGCTTTTATTGTGAGTAAGAGAGAGAGAACAGCCAGAGGTCCCTGGAAGAGTCCAGATCAGAAGAAACAGAAACAGGCTGGACACAGCAGGGCTAGGGAAGCAAAGAAGAGAGAATGGTAGTGGAGACAGCGAGAAGGAATAGTAGAGCAGAGTGGGTTATATGGAGGATGAGGAGCTAGGAGAGCCCGTGAACTGGAGCAGCCCAGGAGTGTGGGGTAGAGGTGGGGTGACAGGGGTCAGGATGCTAGCATGAGGCTTTGACATGTATAAAAAACTATGTGGGATGCCGGGCGGTGGTGGCGCACGCCTTTAATCCCAGCACTCGGAGGCAGAGGCAGGCGGATCTCTGTGAGTTCGAGGCCAGCCTGGTCTACAGAGTGAGTTCCAGGAAAGGCGCAAAGCTACACAGAGAAACCCTGTCTCGAAAAACCAAAAAAAAAAAAAAAAACTATGTGGGAATAGGGACTGAGGGAGCCTGGAGGCCAGTGTGGGCTTCAATATGTAACCATAGTTACATGTCAATGGAGAGCCCTATGTCCCTTCTTCCAGAGGCAACGGAAATCACTCCTTTTTGGAGGATGAGGAACTCATTTCACAAGTTCCTGAGGAATTCTGGCTTTTGTCTAACCACCAGAAATCCTTCTATAGTCCAGCTTGTGCTCATTTCTGGATATACACACTGCCTGAGACCTAACAGATCAATTCATCAAAGTCCCCAAAATCTAAAGTATAACACTTAGAAATTCTCCTAAAGCTGAAAATCAATCCCCAAGCAATTCCCAGGGTTCCAGCCTTCCCAGGTCTGGACTGAGACACAGAGTGATTTTTCTTGTTCCTTCTTTGATTTCTTCTATAGCCCTTTCCTCATCAATCTATATGTGAGCAGAAGTTGTTCAGGTTGAACTTGCCACAAACTTCTCCCTCTGAGGCAAGCAAGTAATCTAAGGCTAAGGGATTCTGATAAACAGCATTGCACATTTTGGGTTCCTGCTTAGCCAGGAACCAGTTTCTGAGTTAGGGTTTCTATTGCTGTAGCAAAGATGGGAGAAAAGCCACTCTGTATCTCCTCATAAAATGAATGAAAAACCTCATGAAATGGGGCGTAGGGTGGGACTGTGACTCTTGAAATGCAATAGGAATCCAAGGCGTAAGTGTTACAGCTCTGAGCGGAAAGGCTTCCCCAGTGGAAGTGTTATAGCTCTGAAGGGAAAGGTATCCCAGAAATCTGAAGCCAAGAAATACCACAAAGTCACACCACACAACAAACCTCACACGAGAGACTTACTCGAAGACATACAAAAGGATGGCTGCCCCTGTTGGGGTAAGAAACAGCAGGAACCATTGAGCAGAGACCGGCTTATATAGGGTTTCTTGGTGGAGTTTTCCAGGATGGGGGTTGGAGAGATTTCGAGCCAAGCCCAGGAATTGGTGGGACCACTTCAAACCTGGAAGTGGGCTTGGACCTTTTACCCTATGCAAGGTCTTGGTTACACCCAAGATAAAAACCATCTTGTGGCCATTCTTCTACCTCAAGTCTTCTGGATGGAGGATCGTTGTGTGGCAAAACTTTTCCTGGGGAGATGTTATACACATGTGTATTTAACCCTGATAAGGAGTCCACAACAGACCAAAAGTATGGATACCACCAAAGTCCAACTCGGTGAACCAATGCGTTTTATTGGGGTTACTTACAGGAGTATGGGGGGAGGGGTGACTTACAGGAGCAGAAATGACCCAACAACAGCTGCATCACCAAAGCCCACCCCAGCATGGGTGACAGCTCACAGAGCTGGAACCTGGAACACACTGCACAGCCTGAAGGCAACTCAACAGGCTGGAGAGTGTCCTTTCCAGCTAACTCAGCTGTTCTAAACATCTTCCAGGCAACTGGTCTGGTCTCAGTCTTCTTTTCAACTTGGCTTCTATGAGAGTCTCTGCAGTCTTTATTGCTGACTCTAGGAGGGAGGGGCCTAGCAAATCTGGTCCATTTCAGGGACTTCCTGGAGCTATGTTGAGTTGTTTACCTTCCTGGTTAAGGAGCTTCCCTGCAGGGTGAAATGTTTCAATCTTAGAGAAAACTGTTACACAACAAGGATAGGAAAATGAACAGGATTGTGGGTTCCCAAATTGTAGCTGGTGGTGGCAATATCCTTTGGAGGAGGGCTGTTTTATCTTTCTCCTTCCAGATGGTCCCTGAACCACAGCTCCAACAGAGGCAGTAACACCAGTGTTGTGTGGCATATCCAGACATAACTAGAACTCCTCACACATGTACTGATCATTAAGCCTGTACTCTTGTTCCCAATACAGATTCCCACATGATTCACTGTAGGTTGGCTGTTACTTATAATACTACACATGTCAAACATAAGGATACTGGCTATGTTTGGGGCCAATAACTTGGATTCAGTTAGTCCCGCTCCACTGGGCCATTTCCAGATTTCTATGTACTTCTCAATGGGGGAGTACTATAGGTCAAAACAGGTGTATTGATCTCCCAGTTGGCAGATGGAATAGGTGGTCTTACTATGTCTGTAGGCCCCTAAGACCTTTCCTGGGCCAGTGAAGTGGGTGTGATAAAGTCAAGTCTTCCTGATGACCCCTGGTCAGGTTGAGTGGTTCATGAGGCAAACTAAAATCTAAAAACAAGACCCAGAAGGGTAGCAACCAGCAGCAATGAATTGCCTGTCCTGCTCACAAGAGGAAAAGGAACACTAACAGAAGCCATTCGTCACATTTCTAGTTGACGAGAGCAGTCTCTGCCAACCCTATGTCAAAGATTGGGGCGAGGATCCCAGCAACAGGCATCATCGGGGCAAGGGATGCCACTGCATCAAAGGAAGAGACCAGTCTGTGCCATCGGATGGCAAATCCCTCCAGTTTCTGTCACACACAGATTAGTCAGCTTCTGGAGTGACTGAAGTGGGGCTGCACTCCTCCAAAGGATCTGACATCACAGCTCTCTTCCTCCAGGCGCTCAGCTTGCATGGCATTGATGAATCCTCAGTGCGTCCCCAGTCTCCAGAAGCCAGTGTCACTCTGCTATAGGGAATTTAGGGGACCACCTTTACTGCAATAGAAGTGGATGAAGTGACAGTGAATGGACCCATCCAAAGGGACTTGAGGGGTTGGATATTCCATCCTTTTACCCATATAGCATCCCCTGGTCTAAAGAGGTGGTCATCTGTGGCCAAGCTGGCAGGTAACCACTCCCTAACTTGATGGTGTGTGGTAGTCAGGGAAAAGCCAAGAGTCTCCATTTGTTATCTCAGAGCAATGCTGCCCAGCCCTTGTATCAGAGGCAGGGGTCCATAAAGGATAAGGGGAGAGCCCTGTCTGTCCTTGTATCAGAGGCAGGAGTCCATAAAGGATAAGGGGAGAACCCTGTCTGTCCTTGTATCAGAGGCAGGGGTCCATAAAGGATAAGGGGAGAACCCTGTCTTTCCAGCAGGGCTAGACCTAATATTCAACAAAGCAATTGGCAACAGCTGGTGCCAGTGTAGGTGGGTTCCCCCACACAGTTTCTGTTCGGCTGCAGCTTTGATCACTCCACCTTCCCAGAGCTCTGGGGACGGTATGTGACGTCCAGGTATTTTCAACTCCTTTGCCACCAACTGTATCACCTCAGTCACAAACATTAGCCCATTATCAGATCTTTTGATGACTGGGATCCAAAATTTGGGAAAGATTTTCTTTAGAAGATATTGAACCTTCTCTTTGGGAGTAGAGAAGGCCTCTACCCAGCCCAAGAAAGCACACACCAAGAGTAACAGACACTTGTAGTCACAGACTGAGGGAAGCTTGGTGAAGCCCACAACTATATTTTCAAATGTTTCTTCTCCAATACTCTGTACCCTAGAACAGACCTTAGGTCCCCAATGCAGGCCATTTCAGACACATGTTTCACACTATCTGCACACCTGGGCTACATTGGAGAGTCAAGGGATGCAGAAATGTTAGCCCAATGTGGCCTCAAGAGCTGTCCAGCTAAGAGACAGGGTCTCACTATGTAGCCCTGGCTGTCCTGAAACTCAGTATGTAGACCAGGATGGCCTCAAACTCACAGAGATCCACTTGCTTCTGCCTCCTGAATGCTGGGATTAAAGGTGTGGGCCACCACTGAGTTGATTAGGCACCTTTTATTCTATAAAGCCTCATGTATGTGGAGGGTGGTGAAGGCATCTCTAAGAGTCCATATGTATACTGACACACAGGGCTCAGGCAGGTCAGTGAGATGAGTTCTGCTTTTTGTGCTGAGATTCCCTTTGGTGGAGATTTCACCTCAATGATGGAACTCAAGTTGGCCATAAAGCATCCTAAAAGATATCCTCCCTATCACAAAACTGCTACCATTGGTGAAACACTCAGCATCCAGGATCCTTCAGAGTTAAGTCCAATTGGTAAGAAAAGACCTCATCCATGACTTTGACGCAGTCATGTCTTGCTGGTCTAGACCAGCAAACACTAGGGTCTTGGGGTTAGAGGTCCACACTACTTCTAGGTGAATATACAGGTTCCCACACATTTCCTGGTACCTGATCATGCATGCATTAGTTAGCCAGTATTGTCCCTTGCCCTCCATTAATGTCAGTATGGGGTGTGACACAAAGACTATTAGCTCTTTTCCCATAATCAATCTGTCAGTCTCCGACACTAAGATGGCAATGGCAGCCAGTGTCTAGAGCCAGGGTGGCCAGCTTTGGGCAATGGAGTTAAGTTGATTGGAAAGGTATGTCACTGGGTAATGCCGTGACACCAACATTTGTGTAGGATCCCCATCCTAATACCAGCATGCTCATGCATGCTCAAGAGTGTGGACATGTCTGAATGTCCTAAGGCCAGGCACATCGGTGAGGGCTTTCTTAATCTCTTCAGAAGCTTTCTGTTGTCCTTATTCCCATGGCAGAGGTTCTTGCTCTTCTCCTTTGTGGCCTCATAAAGTCGTTTTGACAAGATGGAGACATTAGATATTCAGATTCCACATAAACCTGTGGCCCCAAGGAACTCCCCAACGGAGCATTAGGTTGATGAAACCAAGATAACCAGACAGCCTGTTCTCTCTCTCTCTCTGGGCTGAGTCAATGTTCCTCTTGGGATAGGTGAAAACCAAGGCATTCGATTTCTTGACATATTTGGATCTTTTTTTTCCCCCTTTCAAACCATGTAGCCACCTCCCACAGGAGGGTAAAGCGGGGCTGTGTTCATTCCATTTAACCCTCCTGCACCAATGTGCCCAGCGGTAGTTCATCCACATACTGGAGCAGAGTTCAGCCATGCTGGTCTGCTGGGAAGGCTTTTAAATCAGAGGCTACCTCAGTGCTGAAACTAGTTTGAGAATTTCTGAATCCTCGAAGCAGTCTAGTCCATATTAACTGGCCCTTGTCACCATTTTCAGGATTCTACTACTGGAAGGCGAAGACTGGTTGGCTCTGGGGGGCCCTGTGGGGGGGCGCATACAGAAAAAGGCATCTAGACATGTGATTAATGCAGCTTCAGCAAGGATGAGACCCAGGAGAGGGCAGAGGTTACAGACAACTGGGTGTAGGGTAACAGTGGCCTTGTTTAACCGCTCATAGGTTCTGACCTGGCCCACAGCCATCTGCTCCTGTTTATAGCCGGGCAGGTTGTGTTCCAGGATGACTGGCAGGGTCAGAGGATTCATAATTAGAGCAAAATTCTTAAGACCCAAACAAGCTTGGTGCTTCAGAAAAGAATATACTACCACCGTTTTTGCTAGACTATAGTACCTGAGGAGAATCTTAATTTCCTATAGCATGTGTAACACTCTATTAGAATTGTCTGGTTTTCAAAAAGCAAAGCATTTGGTAATGTGTGCAGAGTCACTGTTGGGCTTGAAAGGGCAGGCAGATAATCCTAGAGGAGGCGGCAGGAGTAGTGCCATGCTGCTGTCAATCTCCCCCAAACCCTAGTTCTCCTGTGACATGTGTCTGGGAAACCAGACTTGGCACCTAGAGACCACATATAAAAGGCCAATAAGAGTCCTGGTGACTGAGAGCAGGTTCCTGCCACAAGGAACTCTTAGCTCCCCAACAAGGCAGGGGAGGGTTTATAAAACCACAATTACATCCTACCAGAGGCAGGCAGGGAGTCACAAGTTTGAAAGGTTTCAGTTCAACCGATTAAAACAATGTTTCATGTTGTACAACAGGCCCCTGGATGCTACAGATTGGCAGCATGAGAAGAGTCTGTACAGATGATGTGCTGAGCAGGGGGTTGGGGAGCAATTGGGTGCGCTAAAGCTAGGATAAAATGGAGCTACTTTGGGCAGTTCAAAAAAGATGCTGAAGGCCGGGCGGTGGTGGCACACACCTTTAATCCCAGCACTCGGGAGGCAGAGCCAGGCGGATCTCTGTGAGTTCGAGGCCAGCCTGGGCTACCAAGTGAGCTCCAGGAAAGGCACAAAGCTACGCAGAGAAACCCTGTCTGGAAAAACCAAAAAAAAAAAAGAAAAGAAAAAAAAAAGATGCTGAAGTGTTTGAATGGGACAGATGCATCTCTTCCCTCAGACTTCAGCTATCCCCTGGGTTACTCGTAATAACACCACAATGTAAATGCTGTCAATAACTGTCATGCTGAATGGTGTAAGGGAAAAGTATGCCTATGTCCTTCAGAAATGAAAAATTTTATTCATTTATTATCTATTTATTTGTTCATTTAATTTTGAGACTGTGTCTCACTGTATAGCTCCTGCTGGCCTGGAACTTGATTTGTGAACTAGGTTGGCCTTGAACTCACAGAGATCAGCCTGCCTAGGCCTCTACCTCCCAAGTGCTGGGATTAAAGGCAGAAGAAAATTTTAAAGAATATTTTTAAACCATGGTTGATTTCTCAAATGCAGAAACCTAGGGGTATCCAGAGCCAACCATAACTCAAAAATACAGAAAGAGACAAAGAGAGCCCTATGATATCCTAGAGTCACTAGAAACAATCTTTTTGGTTTTTCAAGACAGGGTTTCACTGTGTAGCCCTGACTGTCCCGGAACTCACTCTGAAGACCAGGCTGGCCTCAAACTCACAGAGATCTGCCTGCCTCTGCCACATGAGTGCTGGGATTAACAGCATGCGGCACCACCACCTGGCTGCTTCTCTACCATTTCAAGGAAACATAGTCTCACAGCAGATTACCTGGTCCTCTGGCTAGTTTCCTTGTTTATAAACCTCATCTAACTTGCATAGGCTGTGGGGCGTTTACCCACCAACCCCACAGCCCCCAGGGTTTTCTTGAGTGCGAGCAGCAGGGAATATTAGATAGAATGATTTATTGTGGAGAATATTGCGGAGATAAACAGATAGAAAATAAAGGATAGCCTCAAGAGGGCCTGGAACCTATTCCAACAGGCCCTGACTGTCTCTGCCCCAGGGTTTTTATAGAGACGCCAAGGGGTGGAGCAAAAGACCTCCTCCTCCAGCACAGCCAAGTGCAGGCCATCTCAGACACCTGCACTCAGGCCCGTGGTCCTGATCATCCTCTATTCGGACCTGCTGGGTAAAGCCACGAGGAACCCGAGAATGGGCTCCCACAATAGGCCTTCTGTGACATGAGCTTTCTAGCTTTGTATTTATCTATCTCATTTGGGAAAAATCCAGCCCTCACACTCTAGGGCAAAGTATTTTTTTATTTTAAAAAATTTAAACATTTTATTTATTTTTATGTTTATGTGTATGGATGTTTTGGCTGAATGTATGCCTGTGCACCACGTGCATGCAGTGCTCAATGAGGCCAGAAGAGGGCGTTGTATCCTCTGGGACTGGAGTTATTGAGGATTATGAGCTGCCATGTGGCTGCTGGGGCTCCAGACCAGGTAGGACAAAGTCTTAACATACAAAGAACTTTCTTTCCTAAAGTATCTTCATGTTTACATCCTTTGAAATACTGACTAGTTCCTTTTTTAATATCATGAGACATAGTTGAAAGACTCCCACCAAAGGCCCTGACACAGTTCCCGCAGAAACCCAAAAGAGCTGAGGAAAGAGATATCTTAAAATAAACAGAACTGAGTCAGTTCCCCCTTCCTGGAGAAGGTGAAGTCAGGTGTTTTCAAAAGAACAAAGTCAGGATGTCTGGTGGTGACCGATTAACGAGATGCCCCTCTTCGGAGATAACCTGACCAGACCCCGGAGATGGGTTGTAAAACTCCTGACAGGGCAAACAGATAAGCTGAAATAAGACAAAGTCCAGGCATGGATGGGGGGGGGGGGACTGGACCAATCAAGGATGGACCTGTACTAACCCCCTCCCCTCTATGGAATTTTGTGGGTTTTACCTATAAAAACTAACTTCCCCAAGAAAGAGGAACTCTCCTCCGTGCCTTGCTGTGTCAGGTATGGTGGACCAGGGTTCCCTGCTAGCTTGAACTACGGGTGCACGTTTGCTGAGTCAAATAAACCTTGCTATTGCATTCTGGACATCTTCGGTCTCCCATGGTCTCTTTGGGGGTCCTAATCTGGGCAGAACAATAGTAACAATTAACAAATTTATAGACATATTTGAAGACTCCCTGTTGAATCCAATACTGTCAGGCTGGACACTGAATAACTGTCCCCCTTATAACCTGTATAGACTTGAAGGCTTGCCCTCTGCTATCTTTAAGTTGTATAAGGTCATGGTTGCATACTATCAGCATTTATGATCAAAGAGGGCCATGCACAACAGGCACTTATGCCTTTCCCCGTGCCTAACTTGAAATCCTCCCTAGCTATACTTCGGGATGGCTAGCTGTTTAAAAACCTGTGCCCACAATCTATCTGTGTGGGCTCAGGATGGCCGAAACTTTTGTTTGTTGGGTTCACAGCCCAACGAATTAAGTGCTCAATAAATACCTAAGGACACAGCTTTGTCCCTCCAGCTACTGGGCTCCTCCATCCTCCAGTGTCACAGTTGGACGAGTGCTCCAGTCTGCCGCTCGCAGGCGCTGCAACCTGGGACTGGATGTCCCCCAGGGCGACCAGCAACTCGCGTTCGCGCTCACCTTCTCCCGGCGCTTATCCCTTTAAGGGCGGGCGGCGGGGCTGCGCACGGGCCTCGCTCTGGGCTGGAGCCTGCGCGTCCGTGTCCCCGGCGAAGGCGGCTTCTGCCGAGGACCCAGGGCGAGGAGCGGGGCGATGCTCAGGCTGCGCGGCTGCTGCGCGCGTCCCCGCGGCGCCCCGGTCCGGGCCGAGCGGAGCCGGGCGGGCAGCCGCGCCTTGCGGGTGCTGGTGGACATGGACGGCGTGCTGGCGGACTTCGAGGGCGGCTTCCTCCGGAAGTTCCGCGCGCGCTTCCCAGACCTGCCCTTCGTGGCGCTGGAAGACCGGCGCGGCTTCTGGGTGTCGGAGCAGTACGGACGTCTGCAGCCTGGGCTGAGCGTGAGCACCCGCAGGCCCCTCAGCCGGGCCCCGCGGGAGGGGAAACCGAGGCCACAGCTGGCCAACCCCAAGCCAGCCCGACTCCCCCATGACGGGTCCTTTTGTACAACGGGGCCTTTGGGGGGACAGTGGCCACAGCGCTAGGGGGACCCGCCCGTGCAGCTGCTGCTGGCTGTCACCCGGGCTTGCTTCAGTCTCCTTACTCTCCCCCTAGAAATCTATCTCGATCCTCTCTTCCTCTTTCCCTCCATCCCTCTCCCCACCCCACCCCTATCACAGCCCCTCTCTATCCGCGCGCCTCCGCTCAGTATTGGAGATTGAATGGAGTCTCCTGGAGGTTAGACAAGCTCTCTACCACTGACCTACATCTCCAGTCCTCTTACTTTTTCCCCTTGTCATTGGCTCTCACTAACTTCTCCGGGCTGCCCTTGGACTCACTCACTCTGTATGTAGCCTAGGCAGGCCTTGAAATTTTGATCCTCCTGCTTCAGCCTCCCCAGAAGCTGAGATCACAAGCCTGTAACACCAGGCTGGGCTTGGATTTTAAATTCTTGTTATATTTTGGTCTCAGGTAGTTTGTTACATGGGGAAAAAATAGACTAGCATTGTGTCTCCTTACTGTTACATAGACATGGGTATTTCTTCCTCCTGATGAATTTGATAGGTGTCTTCGCCCTCATGTTTTGCCCCAATCCATGGAAGCATAGCTAGAGAGTATGACTTTCAGAGTGTCACATGGGAAGTCAGAGTCTAGGTAGAATGAACTTCCCTTTTGACCTGATGAGGCCTTTGCTGAGCCCTTGGGCAACCCCCTCCCCCATGGCTAGACAGATACCCAGGTAGAGAGAGTGTAATTTGGAACTTTTTTTTTTTTTTTTTTTTTGGTTTTTCGAGACAGGGTTTCTCTGTGTAGCTTTGCGCCTTTCCTGGAGCTAACTTGGTAGCCTAGGCTGGCCTCGAACTCACAGAGATCCACCTGGCTCTGCCTCCCAAGTGCTGGGATTAAAGGCGTGCGCCACCACCGCCCGGCCGTAATTTGGAACTTTTAAAAACTATTTTATGAAAGAAACAGGAACATTTGCCCAGCATTAACTTAGAGGATGAGTTTTCTGGCATCTCTCAGTTGGCTACCTGGAGGCCATGGCTAGAGGGCTTGATGGTGAGTGAGGAGGGTGATATTTACCCAGGTTTGTAACACCCTCCAGGGACTGATGTCAGTAAGGTAATGAAGAAAAAGACACAGACAGAAAGCTGGGTTCAGCTGGACCGGGCTCTTTGCTGGAGAAACCCATACTACCCCCGAAAGCTCAGGGTGTTTATTATAGAGTTGAACAGAGAGGTAGGTGCATACAGGTGAACCAGGAGGCAAGGTTTGTGGTGTGCCACTGGATCTGGGAGAGACAGGTTTAGCTAATCTAGGTAGGAGCAGTCTGCAGATGGCACACACCCAGAGGAGAAAGCTGGGATGGACACTTTCTGCACACACTATCAAAATCTCGACTTGGACCAGAGGAAGGCTTTCTCAGGCCTCTAATTTTCATCCCAGGGGAGAGGCTCTGCCTTTCCTCCATGGCTCTGCCTCTGTCAGCAACATACATTCACTTAGGACTTTCTCCAATCCCTGCACAGTCCACTGCTTTGTCGTGACTGTAGGAAGATGCTACTGTCTCCACTTTGCACACAAGGAAGCCTGCTCCCACATCACAGGATAGTGAGGTGTGCAGGTGGGATTCAGACCCAGCAAGCTGTCTGCCTGCTGCACATATTTCTCTTTCCCCTCTCTTTTTTTTTAAAGACAGGGTTTCTCTGTGAAATGGTCCTAGCTGTCCTGGAATTCACTCTTTATACCAAGCTGGCCTTGAACTACCAGATCCGATGCCTCTGCCAACTGAGTGCTGGGATTAAAGGCGTGCGCCATCATCACCCAGCTCTCTTTCCCGAGTCTTAACGTCCTGTTCCCTGTTCTGCTTTCTCTCTCTCTCTCTCTCTCTCTCTCTCTCTCTCTCTCTCTCTCTCTCTCTC